ATGGTTGATGGAGCCTTTTTAGTCTCTCCCACGCGCGCTTTGCACTGTCGCGATGACTGGCGCATGTCAGTAGCGACTTGGCGTACTGGTCTTGAACTGAGTTGAGAAGGTAGAGGTAGGCTTCGGCATTTTTCTTTACCCATGCCGACTGTTCTGTTTGAGGGGCTTCAGTAGAAGGAGGAGAAAGGGAACCAGAATAAACGGGCCACCACTCTAGGAGAGTGGCGGCCAATTGGAAACGGATGCTCCATGCTTGGAAGTCCTTTCCATTGAACCGTGGCACTTCTAGCTTAGGGATAAGCGGGGATGGAGAAGACATTTGGATATAGGGGGGATTGGGATGAGACGGAGTCGATGCAGTATCACCTCCCCTTGTCTTGGCGCCGCTCACTTCAGAAGAGCTAGATTCCTCTTGTGAAGTGGTGCGCTTTTGATTATCGTACTTGACTGTGGGAGGCATGAAGAAGGAGGAAGGTGAGTGTGGATTCTTTTATGCCTTTTTTTTTTTTTTTTTTTGAGAGGCTTTGCGAAAGCAAGGAATGATGATAAAACGTGCTCTGATACCAGATAAAACTTGAGATAAAGACAAAAGAGTATGATTGTACGATTGAATAGGACAAGAGTGCAATAGTAGAACTGTAGCACATATAAATGGAATTATAATGTGCTTGTGAAGAATTAGTGGAAAGGTACTCAAGTGAGTAAAAGGGGACTTGTGGAGAGAAAGATGCTTATAAAGAAGAGTGAGAGACTTGCTTATGTGTGTCTTACAAGGTAGAGAAGCTGTAGAATCTTGGGAGCGGTTCTTGATAGAGGAAGTCTTGCACTTGGGAAAGGGTCTTGAGAATGTAGAGAAGGACACCACAAGCTTGAGAGGGAACCACAATCTTGGATGTGGTTGAAGGAGATGGTCTTGTACTTGACGAGTGAAGATACCACAAGGTTGAGTGTTGAAGAAGTAAGTCTTCCTACAAACTTGTGGCTTAGTGATGCATCTTATACTCGAGTTGGGTATAAGATGGACTAATGCTTGATTACTTTGCTAATCTAGGAACTTTGTGGGAGAACTTTGAGAGCATAAACTTATATGAAATAGGGTATAGTACAAGCCTTATAATCCATGGTGGATACAAGGACATGCATGAGAAAGAGACCACTCATAGTAGTCTAGGAAGAAAGGTAGCATGGTAATACCATCTCTAGAGACATAGAACATGAATGCTAACAAGGAGCCTTTGTAGTGGTGTGAGCTTGAGGAGCTTGAAGAAGACTTGAAGGGGAGCTTGGAGGAGAGGAGCTTGGAGATGCCTTGTTGTACTTTGAGAAACTTCTTGAGAAGTTGGAGAGGATTCTTGGTGAAGATGAATAGTAGTGGAGCATGTGATAGTTGTTGAGCCTTTGGTGACTTGGAGTTGTAGACCATGTGGTGTTGGAGAGAAACTTGGATGAGTTGGAAAGGAAGGAGAGGAGGAGGAATGAAAGCTTTGTTGAGTTGGAAGGTGAGAAAAGTAAGGAATCATGAGAGTCTTGTGTGATGATATGGCAACTTGGATGACTTGGGATAGGAAGGAAGGAAGGAATAAATAAGAGGCATGTGGAGGTTGATGAGTAGGGAAGGGGGGAATGTGCTTGAGGCACATGTGAGGAGGATTATTGGTTGGAGTAGATGACTTGGAGAATTCTTGATGAGTAGGAAGAGAGAGCACATGGAAAATGATGAAGAGTCATGTGCCTTGAGGTAGGAGTTGGAGATGAATAGGAGGATTTGTTGGAAGCTTGGTTGAGGTGGACTAGGAATGATTATGAGAGTTGGGGAAATTAAGGAGTAGTTGGGAGGCCTTAGGTTGGAGGAGATGAGCTGGAAAAGTTGGGTTGGAAATTTGGTAGGTAGAGTAGGTTTGGTTGGTGGGAAATGGGTTGGGGTAGGTAAAGAATTGTAACGAGCGGTTTTGGAGGGGGAGGGGTTGGAGTGGCGAGAGAAATGTGGCACGCGCATCACGTGCCACTCACAACACCACCTACCTCCTCCGACATCCGTCGACATCCGTTGACAAAACATCCCGCTTTGGGCGCGCGCTTAGCAGCACAAACAAGACCTGCAGCTTCGTCATGGAGGCTTGTCATGTTTGCTTGCGCGCTTGTCAGAACTAACTCCTACCTCAAGTGATCCCCCCTTAGCTCCTTGGTAGTTCACGTTCCCCCATGGCTTATCACGACCACCTTCAAGCCCGATTAGGAGGCAGCTTGTTCGCGTTGTGCCTCTGTCTCGGCCTCCTCATATCTCCCGACCACACAGTTGCACAGTCTCTCGCCGGCCTACACGATAACTCCGAAACATTCCGCCCGTTTACTCGTGGAAGAGTAGCCGCCGTCAAAGGACATAAAAGTGAGAATGTCTGGTCGTTCGAATCCGCAATTCGCGGAGCCGCCGCCGCTGACACGGAAGCCGCCAAAGCTCTAGCGGAATACGAAGATGCGAAGAAGGTTCTCGCGGCGAAGAAACTGGAGGCGGAGGGGATAATCGCGGATGCGTCCGAAGCGCGCAGCGAGGCGGAAGGAATGAAGCTCGAGCAGATGTACACGGATATGGACGTCGCGGAAATTTCGGAGCGGGCGCGCAAACGTTGCGCGGACCTGAAGCTCGCGGAAGAAGTGGCGGAGAAAGCTGCGGCATTCTTGGCGGAAAAGCTGATGGCTGCGGATGAAGCGGTGGCTGAGGCGGGGAAAGCAGCGCGGCTGGCGGAAGTGGCGGGCACGGCGGAGGCGCGGCTAGCGTTTGTGCGGACGGAAGCCGCGCGTTCTGAAGCCGCTGAAGCGGCGGAGGAGGCGAAAAGGATAGCAGAAGCAACGAAGGAGAACGCTGAGGAATTTTTTGAAGCATGCTCGCACGAGGAAGCCGACTTGGAAGTTTCTACAGTGGACCTAGAAACAGAAAAAACTTATATCGAGGATCTGGATTCGGCAGCTGCACGCGGTGAGGAGGAGTATAGGAAGAGTGTGACTGCAGTGAGGGTCGCTCAAGCGAAGGTGGCGGAACTGAAGGGTCTGGCTGAGGAGAAAATCGCGCGGGCAAAGGCAATGCGAGTTGCGCTTAGGAATGGCGGGAAGGGGACCGGCCGAAATGCAAGGACAGCAACGCAGTAACCGTTTTGGGGGAGCACAGTGCGCAGTTTTGTCACTTAATAGGAACGCGGTAAACGCGGTAAGCGGCGCAGTTTTCTCAAGGTCTAAGCGGAACGCAATGCGCTCCGTTTTGCCCTTCCACCAGCTACGTGCGAAGCACCACTAGCTGTGTGAGGTTGTGTGTGTTATATTGTACATCAGTGGTTTAGCACTTCTGGTATGTATTGTAGCCCATTTTATGTGATCTATTTGAGTGCCCTAGAGGTCTGGATTTACTGTCTAGAATGTTGTAATGCAGACTGTTTGGTATGAGAGATATCTAAGTGCCTCTTTCAGTCAGATTTTTAATGCCTCAGCTACGCTAGCCAGATTTATAATATATGCTTAATCTGAAAATGATGGAAGGATGGTTGTTTTTTTTCCATCAACTAGCAGCATTACCTTGGGTGCTGCCCAATCTCCACCATCGCACGAGTTCAGCGCGGATATTCAGGGAGCGGTTGGTGTGAGCGGTGGCTGGATGGGCTTTTCAATACGGTTCTAGATGGTATGATACGATTCCAGATGTTTCAGTGCGTTAAACAGGGGTAGGTTTGTTAGTTCAAGTTCTGAGCCTCACTTAGGTTATGTACACCCAACCTGCGACATCTTCACTACTAATAACTTTACATAGTTTACGATTTACCCTTTGATCTACTGCTACCCGCGGTTGTCTCAAGCAAATAATGAATTAACGTGGGAAAATTTCCTGGCACGAAACGTCACAGGCTGCTGAGAACTCACGCGGGGTTTGTCGACAATCACAACATAACTGTTTCAAAGCGAGGGGCGTGCTCATCGACTCCGCGCTACTCTGCCTGTAGAACTAGACACAATTTGGGGTTCCATCACCTCAAGCCTCACGCCGTGCTGGGCGTGTTTGACTCGAAAGTTTCCAGGTTGTAAAAATGTCGCGATCTATGTGTACTGTATCACACGCTGAGACAAAAGCCATCTTGATTTTACAGCTCGGGCCTGTGGCGAAACCGCAGATCAGGTTGTCGCATTCCGATTTTCACCTGGACATGATCCAGTGGCCACACACTGCTGCCGAATCGTCCAGGCGAAAACCTCGACTGGACCATGCGATTTGTCTTCTCTTGCACGGTTGCCTTGAACTGCCCTTGCGAGAGCCACTCGCCGCGTAAAAGCCACCCCAGAGAAGATTGGTCTTAGGGGGAGGTGAAGGAGGGCCTACGCTAAGGATTTGGGAGGGTCTGTTTCTCCCGGGTCCTCCCCCCTCCCCCCCCCCCCACCCCCATCCCACCTCTTTTTTGTCCGAGTTGGGAAAGGTGAATTCTGTTTAATCCAGAATCAAGGCTCGAGCTACTCTGACAGAGTTCCTCCCCTGTGCTATGTAAATAAGCACCAATGACATGCTAAGACAGCTCATCCCGTTTAGCCAAATATTGGAGCGGCAGCAACAAGTGAGGGACGAGAGATGACAGCAGAAGGGGAAGAGGGGGGCAGCTCATCCCGTTTGAGAGATTGCCTTGGTTGTAAGGGGTAAAGTAAGGTGACAGTGCAAGGGGAAGAGTGTTGTGCGGTGTGTGTTTGGGGGGGGGGAGGATATGGGGGGAAATTTCTCTGGGCTCGACCACAGGGGCATTCTGATTCTTCCGGAACCCCGCCCAAGCACACTTGTATATGTTCCGGAACCCCTGTGTCAGTTACTCGTGAAAAATCCAGATCTGAAAAATAATCAAATCCGGGTAATTACTCTTGAAACAATAGGCCTGGTGTGAAGTTTGGCAGTGGCTCCGTTCCACTTCGTTCCTTCATTCTCACCCCCTAGACCAAGTGATCATAGAAAGGTGAAGGGGGCAGGCAGCGTTGTTCTAACTACGAATTGCTCGTCAAGCCTCTCTCGGTTCTCGAAGCTCCCGTTGTCAATCGCTTTCCCTTCAGCAGACAAGCCTCACACGAGCTGCTCCTGACACCGCTGCTTCTTACCGAGACTGTGAAACGGATTCAGACCGAAGCCTTTTCTCGCGCGTCTTTCGCCTTCTGACAGAGCCACTGCTGTACATCCCACCTGCTCTGCGACTTGTGAGAGCCCTTGGAAGACATTCGATCATCAGAGTCAGCACTATAGTCGCGCGTGCCTCGCTCATTTAACATGGCGAATCAACGGATTTTCGAATCAACGGATCAACGGAATCAACGGAGAACCTTCTTCGTTCTCGTCTGCCTCGCTTTCAGCCTCCTCCTCTCGCCTGGCCACTCCGCCGCACAAAATGTATACAGCGCTAAGAATAACACACTCCACGTTACAAATACAATCGGTTCCACCACTACAAACGAGGATGTCCGACCGCTAGAAGTCGCAGTGCGGGCGGCCGCCGCCGCCGACGCGGAAGCAGCCGAGGCGCTCGCGGAATACGAAGACGCGAAGAAGGTTCTAGCGGCGAAACGACTGGAGGCTGAAGGACTGCGCGCGGATCTGTCCGCCGCGCGCCACCGGGCGGAAGAAACGAAGATCGCGCGCATAGCCGTGGACGTCGATACCGCGCAGATTGTGGTACGCGCAAGCAACCGCCCCGTGGACGTGAAGCGCGCGGAAGAGGTGGCGGAGCAAGCTACCGCCTTCGCGGCGGAAACGCGGATGGTTGCGGATAAAGCTGCGGCTGCGGCGGAGAAAGCAGCGCAGTTGGCGGAAGCGGCGGTCACGGAGGAGGCGCAGCTGGATCTCTTGCGGGCGGAAACCACGCGCGCGGAGGCCGCGCAAGTGGCGGCGGTGGCGGAGAAGCTGGCGGACGCGGCGAAAGATAGCGCGGATGAGATTCGGGAAGTGTATAGGCGCGCGGAAAGCGAGCGGGAGATTTCTACAGTAGAACTCGATCCAGAGCAGGCTTACTTGGAGAGTCTGGAATCTGCTGTAACGCGTATGGAGGAGGAGTATACGAAGGGTGTGATTGCAGTGAACGTCGCTGAGGCGAAGGTGGCGGAATTGAAGGGACTGGCTGAGGGGAAGGTCGCGCGGGCGAAGGCGATGCGAGTTGCGCTGAGGAAAGGCGCGAAGGGGATCGGAGGTGACACAACGACAGCTACGCAGTAGCCGTTTTGAAAGGCCCACAAAGACATGTGTTTTTTAATTCTACAAGGCTTTACTAAAGCCTTGCAGGTTGACTTGCTCTGTGGGTTGCTAACTTGCTACCGTATGTGTTTGTCCTTCAGCTGGTTGTGCTTCAGAACCGCCTCAGCTGGTTTGGGAGCCCAGTCTGCGCAGTTTCGTGAATGCTCGAGGACCGCAATCGCGCCGCAGATTCCTCCGAGGGAAGGGGACCGCAATACGCGCTCAGTTTATCACTCCTAACTAATCGTGTGTTAGATTGTACATTAGTGGGTGGTGGTGGTACTAATGTATTGAAGCCCAAATTTGTTTTCATAATGTGACAATGCAGAACCATGGGATCAGGTCAGGCAGCTTGGTCAGAGCCAACTCTGTGATTATAAAGGCGCGTGACATAGAGAGAAAGTGCAGAAGTCCGTACCGAATGAGCGGGGTTCGGACTGGTTCGAGGCTCGTAAAATAGGCTACACAGCTGCAAAATTTGCAAGCTGCATTCAGCAACCTAAGGCCAGAACGAGGCATGTCCGCGCGGTACGTAAACAGTCTACAGACGATCAAGCTGCATCGCCACCGTTCGTTATGACCGTGCGACGACCGCGAATCGACACGGCGCGTATGGCGAAAACAGCCTTCACGAGTCGCCACCAATTATCAACCGCTTCCTGTATTGCACGAAATTTCATATTAATCGCACGTTATGAATGCCGCGTGTGCCGTCAAGCTTGATGTCAAGCTCGGATGCTGGTCTGGCAGTTTCGAGCGCGCTCGAGCGAACCCCTTCGTTTAGCGGGGCGAACCAAGATGCAACGTAGAATCTTGAGTGTATTATCGAGATTTTCGCTAAGTTATGGTAATCAACTCGAATAAACCCTCAATCCCAGTTAGCACACCAGTTGACCCATGTTGGGCATTAACGTCACAGTTTCTTCCTTGCAGTGCATGTGGCTTGTTACTATGTGTGGAGTCAAAAAGGCCCAGCAAGTGGTGACATTTACATGACAGGGAACGAGCACCAGAGACGTGCCCCTGTAAGCTCATAGGGCAACTTCAGCGGACTGAGCAGAAGGGACTGAGCAGGTAGGCAAATATGTAAATATATCTCAAGAGCAAAAAATTGCATGCTTCAGGCACCCAACGGGTAGCAGTGGCAAATGCTGCATGACTCTCTGGACTCCAGAGCACGGGGTGGTCTACTTGGCCTTGAGGTACTCGTTGAGCACGTTCAGCGCTTCCGTCTCCTCGCCATAGTCCTGCCATATGCAGAGGGACACGGCACAAACATACATACACACACACACATACAGATCCACGCACACAGATGACCATCAATACAATGCCCCGGCAGAAACAACATACTAGGCTGTCCAACCCTCGCTGACGCTAATGCATCCTTTCTAGACACTGCTGCAGGGGTTGTAGGCGCACTGAGAAGCTTGGAAATACTGCTGCTCATCCACTTGACTCATCACTCAGCCCTGGTCCTACATGCAATACAGCAAACCCGCATGGGCATGCTTTTGAGTCGACTCAAACCCACATGGGCATGCTTTTGAGTCGACTCAAACCCGCATGGGCATGCTTTTGAGTCGACTCAAACCCACATGGGCATGCTTTTGAGTCGACTCAAACCCACATGGGCATTCTTTGGAGTCGACTCAAACCCACATGGGCATGCTTTCGTGTCGACTCAAACCCACGTGGGCATGCTTTTGAGTCGACTCAGAAGCACATGGGCATGCATGCGTGTGATAGCCAATAACCACACGCGCAATCACTGTTGATTCCCCCAACCTGCATTCTCCCATGCGCACCAAATGCCCCCCATGCGCACCAAATGCCTCCCGTGCGCACCCAATGCCTCCCGTGCGCACCCAATGCCTCCCGTGCGCACCCAATGCCTCCCGTGCGCACCCCCGGCTACCACCCCCCCCCCCCCCCCCCTGCTCACCTTGACGACGACGCACGCGCACCCAACGACCTTGCGCGCCTTGCCCTCGGAGTCGAGCTTGCACAGCCCCGCCCACTCGCCCAGCGTCTTCGCGCTCGGAACCTGCACGCAACCCACGCACCACGCACCATGCACGAGCAGTCTATTCTTTAGGCGCCTCAAAACTACTTGCGTCTAGTTCTGAGACGCCTTGCTCTCCGAGTCCAGCTTGCACAACCCCACCCACTCGCCCAGCGTCTGGCGCTCGGCACCTGCCACCCACCACCCAAGCACCACGCACCACGCACCCCGCACCCCGCACCACGCACCACGCACCCCGCACCCCGCGCCCCGCACCCCGCACCACGCACCACGCACCCCGCACCCCGCACCCCGCACCACGCACCCCGCACCCCGCACCACGCACCCCGCACCCCGCACCCCGCACCACGCACCACGCACCACGCACCCCGCACCCCGCGCCCCGCATCCCGCACACACCCAGCGACTACTCAACTTCCCGCTTCACACGCGCCGTATCACACAGGCGGTCAGTGCACCCAGAGGAAAGCACTTGAATCGACTCAAAGGGCACAGTCGATGAATGCCGATCCTTAGGAAAACAACTCTTGAGATTGCGCCGTCTGTGCCTGTCGAAACCCTAGCACGCTGACGGCGGCTGCAGTCGAGCCCATGGTTGTGTTAGCCTGCCACTATTGCCTTGCCGCTAAGCACGCAGCAGCAACTCGCAGCTCAAGAACAGGCAGGCAGACACACTCGCCCCCTATACCCTAAACTGTTTGCTGATCTTTGAGTCGACTAAAAAACTCGCAACTCGCAGCTCGAGAACAGGCAAGCAGAGACACTCGCCCCCTAAACCCGAAACTGGCTGCTGCGCCTGTCTCCTCCGATCACCTTCCCCGCCTTGCGCCTGTCTCCTCCGATCGTAAACCGGCTCCGGCTCGCAGGGCAGGGCAGCAGGGCAGGTCAGGGCAGGGCAGGGCAGGGCAGGGCAGGGCGGAAACAACCCTCCCACTGGGATGAGGCAGCAACAGCACGGGCAGACTGGATCCGTGCAGACAGCAGACGGACGGGCAGACACGTGCATCCTGCTGCTCGTGCACGGGATTCGGATCGGGATGAGGCTGGATACACCTGGCTGGGTACACCTGGCTGGATACACCTGGCTGGGTACACTTGGCTGGATACACCTGCATGTGGCTGAATAAGGTAGCCGTGCAGCGCACCTGGATGAGGTTGATGTTGTGCTCGTGGCAGAGCGCCTGCACGAGCTTCTTGTAGTCCTCCTGGTCGCAGTCCTGCGCCAGCACGCACAGCTGCGCGCTGCTCTTCTCCAGCACCTTGGCGGACTCGTGCAGCCCGCGCGCCAGCCCGTCGTGCGCCAGCGCCTTCTTCAGCACGCGCTGCAGCGCCGTCATCGTGTCCATCGCCTCCGCGGGGGCCTCAGCGGCCGCCTCCACGGCGGGGGCCTCCGCCTCGATCGCAACGGGCTCATCTCTGAAGGGGAAGGCGGGTGGGAGGGCGGGGGTGGGGGGGTGGGGGGGTGGGGGGGTGGGGGGGTGGGGGAGGGGTAGGGAGGGGTTTCGGGGGGAGGGGATGGGCGCGGCAAGTGAGCCGACAAGGCCTGCACGAGCTACTTCTTGAAGACCTCCTGATCGCAGCCACGCGCTGCAGCGCCGTCATCGTGCCCATCGCCTCCGCGGGGGCCTCCGCCTCGATCGCAACGGGCTCATCTCTACGGGGGGGGGAGGGGGGGAGAGGCGGGGGGGCCAGCGGAGGTTGTACGGGCGTGTCGTCCTCGACAGACGTGTCAAAACGGAATAACTACATTACAGGACGAGGCAGGACGAGGAAGAGCGAGGCAGAACGAGGCAGAACGAGCGAACACAACGTACCCGTCCGACATTGTCCTCGGCAGATGTTTAACGACTGCCTCCCTGCAACCAGACACGGAAGAAACAGGAGAAAGAAGAAAGAGGAGCAGCAAAGAGTTGAGACTGGGACTCACGACGAGAGGACCTCAATTGACGGAAAAACGACAGCAACGGCAGGAGAAAATAGGCGAAGACTGAACGCGCATGAACAGCTCAAAACGCAGACGAGAGAAGGGGACGCATCCGATGGGGACGCATCCGATGGGGACGCAGACGATGGGGACAATCACTTTGTCAATGACGTCCTCGAGTCCCCACCTGGGAGCTATACGCTGCCTTGCCCCCTTAAGCCTAACCTGACCTACGAACCTGCTGCTCTCTGAGAAGAGAACTACGTCTGACGACCGCAAGGGCACTCACTTTGTCAATAACGTCCTCGAGTCCCCCACCAGGGAGCTATGCGCTGCTTTGCCACCTTACGCCTAACCTAACCTACGAACCTGCTGCTCTCTGAGCTTTGAGGCGCCTCAAAACTAAATTCTTATGTGCTGCTTTGTCACCTGAAGCCTAACCTAACCTACGAATCTGCAGCTCCCTGAGAAGGGAACTTCGTCTGAAGACCTCAAGGACACTCACTTTGTCAATGACGACCTGGAGACCTCACCTGGGAGCTACGTGCTGCTTTGCCACTTAAGCCTATCTCACGAATCTGCAGCTCTCGAAGTATTCTCAAAGAATTCTCATAAGACCGCAAGGGTACTCACTTTGTCAATGACGTCCTCGAGTCCTCACCTGGAGCAACATGGAACGAAATGGGACGAGAGAGATGCGATGACATGAGATGAGATGAGTTTGGGCCACAGCAAGAAATGGGGCGAGAGAGATGAGATGCGTTTCGACCGCGGCAATAAATGAAAATGGGGCGATGACGGCAAGAAAGATGCTGTGGAAACGACGTTCCGGCTCAGAGTGGTCTACAAATCCGACGAAAACATAATGACGGAAAAAAAATGAAAACGTGAGAGGCAAAATTGAAGCCACTACACGATCGCCGGCACTTTCGAAGAACCGCTGCGTTTCCGTAAGGTGCACTCGTGGCGGCCTCTTATCTTTCAGAGGGTAACAGGAGTGGAGACTCACCCGTTGCGAAGTCTCAAGTCGTGAATGTGGTAAACTAGAAAACGCAGAAAGAGATAGGAATAAGCGTTCGACTGGCAGATATGCGTGGGAAAGCTTTGTGAGGGCGTGTCCTCCAGTGCAGATTGGGGATTATCACCGCCCTGGATGCTACTGTGCTGCACGAAACCGCGGTCAACGGTAGCCTACCGAGCTCAACCAGAAACAAATCACCAAAAAACCCCACTTGGGACACGCCCTTCGTAGCTCGGGAGGTGGGGGGGAGGGATGCTGCTTCGGAGCTCAACCAGAGCGAGGACCTTCAGCGAAGCCCAAAAGAACTCTTTCCGAAGATACACGCGCATTCGCTTATACAGTTTATTCGACTATAAGCGCAGGTGATTTTGCAAGGGATTCCATTATAATCACATATGCGCTTATATCCGGGTGTAAACAATATTGTACATCATTGATTTGAAATAATAGCTTTTTTTCACAACATCATTTATCTGCAATGATGTTTTTTTCACAACATGCCCTTCAAGTCAAACAAGATTCACTTATGGCACAAACGAACTAAATGCATCAATTAGAAAGTCGAATTAGCAATGTTAGACAAGCATAAACGAGAGATGGCGCTATAACAAGTCACCAATAATAGATCAGCACATGCAAGGTTTCTAGAACGCCGACAGCACACATTCCGTTCCATCCTTGCCTTCACCGTCACATTTCAGAAAGTGCCTGCGCCCCCTCATCGTTACCGTATGCCATCACTTGAGCATTGACAAGCCGGCATTGACAAGCCGAGCCAACTCATCACCAGATTTTAATCTCATCACTTGAGCATCGCTGGCACATAAACTGATTTGACCCTCATCATTCGAGCATTGCCGAGCCGAGCCGAGCCGAGAAGAGCCGTGGCGACACATCAGCTGATTTTCATCTCATCACTTGAGCATCGCCGACACATCGGCTGATTTGAACCTGGCAAGCCCACCAGAGCCCTTGGAACGGCTGCCGCCACCAACAGCCGACGACCGAGATGGGTTCCTAGGCAGTGGGCTTCTCGCCCCCCCTTCCCTCTCCCTCTCCCGATCTCTGGTCCTCTCCCTATCTCGGTCCCCCCCATCTCTATCCCTGTCCCTATAGTCCCTCTCACTGTACCTGTCCCTGTCCCGGTCACTATCCCTCTCTCTATCTGACTCATCGTCCCATCCCCTCCCCCCTCCTCTTCTCCCCCCACTGCTCGTGCCGCTCCTCCCCTCACTCCTGTCCGCACCTCTAGCCCTCTCCCTCCCTCCCCCTCCCCCTCCTTCACCCTCCTCCCCATTCTCATCTCCCTTCCAAGGCGCCACCAACTTAGGCGCGTTCACAGGGCTCAGTCCGCCGCCCGCCGACACAGAAAAGACAACCCCGCCCGTCCGTGCCAGGTCATCAAAGTCCCGGCTCGGCCGCCTCCTGCCACCAGCAGAAGCGGCCGATTTTCGCCCACCGCTGCTCGTGCTCTCCGCCCCGTCCCGCCCCAGGTCCTTCCCCCCGTCGCCGCCCATCTCATCCATCAACTTCCCTATGTCTGCCGATTTCCGCCGGACCAGACCATTAGTTGCCGAGACACGCCGGCCGCCGCCGCCCGCACGGCTGCTCACACTGGCTGTGGGGGACGGCGGACCTCCTATCCCTCCTCCTCCCCTATTGGAAGGGCGAGAGCGAGAGGATTCTTCCAGGAGAGGGGAAACTGGCCTCACTCCTCCCCCTCCTCGTGTCGGCCCTCCCCCCCTGCCCCGTGCATCAGCATCAGCATCCCTCCCATCTCTCCCCTCCCTCCCATCCCTCCCGTCCCGCCCATCTCTGACTGGGACGAGGTTCGACACGTTGGTTGACTTGTGCCGGAACAGGCTGTTCCCCTCCAGCCGCTCCTTGGCGCTCTTCGCCTTATCTGACGCCCGCGACATGCCCCTCGCTCCGCCTGCACTCCCGCTCCCACCATCACCACCCCCACCCCCACCCCCACCACCAGCACTGTCCTCCTCGTCTAGAGGAGACACGAAACGGTCCTTGGCGCTTCTAGCATTATCCGACGCTCGAGACATGCGCCGTGCGCTCCCCCCCGCGCTGTCCTCCTCATGGGAGTCGTCATTGGTGGTGCCAGGTGCAGGAGCAGGGGCAGGAGGGGGGGAAGGAGATCGCTCCAGGTCCCGTGCTTTCCCGCTGCCTCCACTGCTGCGGCTCTCTCTTCCCCGCTCCCGATCCTTGTCCCCCTCTCCGGCCCCTCTGTCTCCTCCTTTTTCGCCTGCTCCCCTTTCTCCTTCACCTCCCTTATCTCCTACTTTCTCCCCTGCATCAACCTCAGGGTCAAATGACACACTAGCAGACGACAGCCCACGCCGCAGCGACCGCCTGGGTCGGCTGGTCTCCTCCTCCTCCCCTTTTTTCCGCCCCTCCTCTCCCTTCTTCCCCCCCTCTTCTCCCTCCTCCTTCCCATCCCTGTCTCTCTCCCTATCCCTATCCCTATCCCTATCCCTGTCCCTGTCCCTGTCCCTATCCCTGTCCCTGTCCCTGTCCCTGTCCCTGTCCCTGTCCCTATCCCCTCTCCCCCTCTCCTTCTCCCCTCGCACGCTTTCAGGAGAGGGAGAACGACGCACAGAGGAGCGCCTACCATCCCTATCCCTCCCATCCCTATCCCTCCCATCCCTGCCCCAGCCATCCTTATCCCTTCCCTCCCTATCCCTACCCTCCCTATCCCTACCCTCTCTATCCCAACCGTCCCTATCCCTACCCTCCCTATCCCTACCCTCTCTATCCCTACCATCCCTATCCCAACCATCCCTGTCCCTACCCTCCCTACCCCACCCTCGCTCTCTATCCCTATCCCTGTCCCTGTCCCTATCCCGATCCCGATCCCGATCCCTATCCCTATCCCTATCCCTATCCCTATCCCGAAACCTGTCTCTGTCCCTATCCCTGTCCTTATCCCTGCCCCCCCCAGGAGGCGATGGTGACCGTCGGATCCCCCGCGATCGGCTCGATCTGGCCGTCGGGCTCTTGAGGAAGTCGGGTTTGTCATCATCCTTCCCGATTGACACCAGCTTGCCAATATCTGCCGATTTATGCCGTACCAGCCCGCCGCCCTCTTTCTTCGCCCCACTGGTGCTCCCCAGCTTATCTCTCTCTCTCCGAATCCTCTCCCTGTCGCGATCCTTGTCCCTCACTCCGTCACTATCCCTGTCCCTGTCCCTGTCCCTGTCCCTGTCTCTGTCTCTATCCTTATCCCAATCCCAATCCCTATCCCGTTCCTTATACCTATCCCTGTCTCTGTCCCGGTCTCGATCCCCATACCTATCCCTGTCCCTATCACGATCCCTATACCTATCCCTGTCTCTGTCTTTGTCTCTGTCTTTGTCCCTGTCTCGATACCGGTCAAAGTCCTTATCCCGATCCCTGTCCCTATCCCTATCCCTATCCCTATCCCTATCCCGCTCCCTATACCTGTCGTAATCCCTGTCTCTATCCCTATCCCTGTCCCTGTCCCTATCACCCCTGCCCCCCCTATCCCTATCCCTATCCCTATCCCTATCCCTATCCCTGTCCCTATCCCTATCCCTGTCTCTGTCTCTCTCTTTTTCCTTTGACTCCTTTTCTTTTTCCCGCTCGCCTCTGCGACTTGCGCTGCTGCCCGGCCTTTCCTTCCCCTTCTCCAGCGAAGCAAAAATCTCCTCCATAGATTTGCCAGGCTGCCCGGGCTTCCCTCCCTTGGTCAGTATCGCGCCGACATTCTCTGACCGGTGCCGCAAAAGTTTCGACCCAGCATCAGCAGCAGAAACAGAAGCAGACGACGGAAGCTTCAATCCTTTTCTTCCCCGCCCCCCGTCCTCCTCCCCCTCGTGGTCCGATGCGTCTCTTGTGCTCCGAGAGGGTGGCAGCTTCGGCCGGCCTGCCGCCCCCCCGCCGCCCGTGCTGCCGCCTCTAGGTAATCCCGGTCGGTCCTCCCTCCCCCCACCCCCCCCACCTCCTGTTTCTAGCTTAGCTAAAAGTTTTGCCACCCGTTCCTCTCCTCCCCCTCCTCCCCCTCCCTCTCCCCCATCTTTCCGCAAAACTTCCCGGGCAGCGGCAAGGAACGCCTGCAGGGCAGCTTCAGAAGGTTCCTCATCCCCCAATCCGGAGGCGTGCCGGGCAGACGCGGACCGTCGATCCCCACCACCAGCAGCACCGTCGGCATCGGATTCCGCTCCTGATAACGACCCGCTCCGGCTCATACCCACGCTGCGGGACCGGGGGACAAGAGAGGGGGAGAGGCCTGCTGCAGAGGTTCCTGCTACCCCCGCCACCCCCCCCTCCCCCACCTTCTTCTTCAGAGCCTCCAGCAGCACTAAGAGATCACTATGGCTCCCCTCCCCTCCTCCCCCGCCCCCACCGCTGCTCTTCTTAAGAGACAATATCGCCTTAGACAGCAGTGAGGCGTCTCCCCCGGCCAGAACCCCCGCCAGGCCCCCCACCCCACCCCCCCCCGCGTGGTGCTGGTGGTGATGCGCCCCCCCTCCCCCTCCGCCTGCCCCACTGCTAGAGCTGGGTCTGATGCCCCCCCCCGTGCTGCTGCCGGTGCTGCTGTCGCGCCTAAAGGCGCCCATGACGTCAGCAGTGGCGGGCTTGGGGGGGATGCCTGAGAGGGAGGCGGAGGAGGGGAAGCGAGTGGAGCCGGCATGCTGCTTGAGCCACCGGTGGGCTGGGGGGGTGGGGGGGGGGGAATGGGGGGGAAGGGGAGGTAAGGGGAGGGGAGGGGATTCCGGAGAGCGAGGCGGAGGAGGGGAATCCAGTGGAACCCGCATGCAGCTTGAGCCACCGGTGGGCGGGAAGAGGAGAAACAAGTGGGGGGAGGGGGCGGGGGGGGTGAGGTGTTCTGATCAGCAGCTTGACGACCAGATTCCTGGCGCCCCGCGAGATGAACTCCCTCCCGTCCCTCACCCCGCCCATACTTCCGTCCCTCCACACTTCATATGAGCCCTCACTCACCCAGCGCCTTATCCGGTGTAATCCTCTAGCTGATTATTGAGAATTCTAAGAAACCCCACCCACTCACACCCTCCACCCTCACTAACACTCACTCACCCAGCGCCTTATCTGGTGTGATCCTCTTCAAAGGGTCCCTGGTGAGCAGCTTGATCACGATTTCCTTGGCGTCCTGCGAGATGCCCTCCCTCCCTCCCACGCATCCTTCCATCCATCCAGCTCAAGTAGAGACTTCCCCCCCACCCGCTCACCCAGCGCCTTATCCGGTGTGATCCTCTTCAAAGGTTCCCTGGTGAGCAGCTTGATCACCAGGTCATTGGCGTCCTGCGAGGAGCCCCTCCCACACGCCCGTGAAGACGTCGATCTTCCTTAGAGACACTCACCTAGCGCCTTATCGGGAGTGATTCGCTTGGAAGGATCCCTGGTCAACAGCTTGATCACCAGGTCCTTGGCGTCCTGCGACACGCCCTCCCACACGCCCGTGAAGACGTCAATCTTGCCCGTCTTGATGGCCGCAAAGATGCCCTCCTCCTTCTCCGCCCAGAAGGGCGGCAGGCCGCACAGCAGGATGTAGAGGATCACCCCCACGCTCCACATGTCGGCCTCGAGGCCATAGCAGTTGTTGAGAACCTCGGGGGCAATGTAGTAGGCGCTGCCTGCCATGGTGGTCAGCTTGGCACCTGCGGGAGTGAAAAGGGGTGAAAGAGGGGTGGAGAGGGGTGAAAAGGGGAGAGGGATGGAGAGGGGTGGAGAGGGGTGGAGAGGGGTGAAAAGGGGAGAGGGATGGAGAGGGGTGGAGAGGGGTGGAGAGGGGTGAAAAGAGGGCAGGCTGCACAGCAGGATGTAGAGGATCAACCCCACGCTCCAGATGTCGGCTTCGAGGCCATAGCAGTTGTTGAGGACCTCGGGGGCAATGTGATAAGCACTCCCCGTTATTGTGGTTAGTGTGGCTCCTGTTTGGGGTCAAACAGTGCGGGGCAATTGTGTGAAAAGGGGTGAAGGGGTGAAAAGAGGGCAGGCCGCACAGCAGGATGTAGAGGAACACCCCCACGCTCCACATGTCCGCCTCCAGCCCGTAGCAGTTGTTCGGAACCTCCGGGGCAATGTAGTAGGCGCTGCCTGCCATGGTGGTTAGTTTGGCTCCTGTTTAGAAAAGGGAGGAGAAGGGGAGGGGGGGGAGGAAAGAGGAAGGGGGGGTTGGGGGGGGGGGGTGGGGGGGGGATTGTTTTGGGGAGGGGAACAGAGAAAGGGAGAGGGAGAGGAAAAAGAGCGGCAGGCCGCACAGCAGGATGTGGAGGATCACCCCCACGCTCCACATGTCGGCTTCGAGGCCGTAGCAGTTGTTCCGGACCTCAGGTGCTACATAATAGGCGCTGCCAGCCTGAAACTGGTGAGCTTGGCACCTGGTTTTCAAACGAGCGGCAGGGAGGGAAGGGTGGAGGGGGGAGAGGAGGGGATGGGGGGGAGTGGAGGGTTGTGAAGGGAAAGGACGAGGGACAAATATTGTCTGCTTCTTCTAACCTGTAACACCTCCGGCGTTCCATAATAGGCGCTCCCAGTCAGCATGAGTCAGCTTGGCTTCTATTGGGGTAGAATTCTGGTCCATTGATCATATCTAGGCTCTGATAGGTTTTTGAGAATTCTCAAAATTCTATTGGGGTAGAATTTTTGTCCGTTGATTACCGTGTTCTATCGCTAACCATGTTTGCGCTTCTTGCCATTTGTCAGTCTGACACAAGCACACATAAGAAGTTACGAGACGACTAAAAAACGCTCAGGAGAGTTAGGAGCATCATTTTGTGTAGAGTTCAGGGACTCGTGATAAAATATTGGAGGTTGGCTGGCAAGTAAGCTCATTGCAATTATTTCGGAGCTCGAATGTGGGTCAATCGGAGACTAGCGAACTTAACTAAGTACTTGTCCTTGTTTCACCAAACCGTGAAGTTTTTCTCGAAGAGCATGAGCGAGCTCGCGTTTTGGTTATCTCGCTCTACAAAAAGCACCCAGTCAACGAGGCTGTAACTGAGATAAGCGAAAAGATGCTCACCGGGGTTGACGAAGACTACGAGGCCGTGATCGACGACTTTCACTCGCGTGTGCGACGTTAGGTTCACGAGGAAAACAAATTCGGGCTTCAGATTGCGATGCATGAGCCCGTGCGTCTAGCAATGTGCGATGGCCAATTTTCATCGTGCATTGCTAACATTAACGAAACAGTAACCAGGACTGGCGAGAAGCGGGCTTACCTGGCTTGACGAAGACTGCAAGGCCGTAATCGACGACTTTCACTCGCGTGTGCGACGTTTGGTTCACGAGCAGAATGTTTTCGGGCTTGAGATCGCGATGCATGAGCCCGTGCGTCTGGCAGTGTGCGACAACCGAAACGAGCGTGCGACAAACCTCCGCCGCCTCGTTCTCCGGGTAATGCTTTCGCTTGCTAATTCGCTCAAACAGTTCGCCGCCTTCGCACAGCTCCATGATCAGGTGCACGCGCTGAGGCCAAAACGAGAGAGAGAGAGAAACGAAACGAGAGCGCGGGAATAAGGTGAGAGTTAGGTGTGTCATTTTAAGATGCATAGGTAGAGAGAAAGAGAGCGCGAGAAGGATATGGAGCGGCGATTAATTAGTGGTTGGGTAAGGAAGACAAAGAAAGGGGGAGGGAAACCGGAAATGCAAGGGACCATTAATCACTTACGATCCGCGCGATTCACAATCCAGCGTTCACGCGAGAACCCTAATTTATTGTGAACGTCCTTAAAAGAAGAGCCGGGAAAAGAAGGGGGAACAAGGGGAAGCCACCCTCCCGTTACCCTTTCTGCCATTCTTCCTTACAACAGTAGAAAACGGAAACCCACCTTTTCGTCTTCAAACGTCGCACGAAGCTCGATCACGGCCGGGTATCCTTTCATAACCTTAACCTCCCACTGAACATCCTCCACCTCCCGTGTCCCCGTCAACCTCAACCGCGTACCTAGTGCTCGCGTACCTTTTTTTGAGGCGCCTCGAAACTAGACTCCTCAAAACTCAACCGCGTACGTAGTGCTCGCGTACCTTTTGATCTTCGAACGTCGCGCGGAGCTCGATAACAGCCGGGTGACCTTTGAGCAGCTCCATAACCTTAACCTCCCTCTGAACGTCCTCCACCTCCCGCGTCCCCGTCAGCTTCCCCTTATTGATGCTCTTGCACGCCAGAGACAGTCCCGTCGCTTTCTCCGTGCACAGCCGGATCACGCCGTACTGCCCGCGGCCCAGCTCCTTCCCCATCACGTAGAGGTCCTGCACGTTTTCGTACGTCTTTTTAAGAATGTTCACCGTGTGCGCCGCTTCCTTCGCGGCGGAACCCGGCCGGCGTAACGACGGCGGCAGGCCGTCCTTGACTCCCGTCCGGCTGACGTCTGCTGCCGTGGTCGAGGGCTTAGCTGGGGAGGAGTCTCGCGAGGAGCTACCGGGACCTGACGTGGCGAGGCTTGGGGCTGCCACGGAGTCGGTATCTGACACGTCATCATCGACCTTCTTTCCAGTGGGAGGCCTTTTTCTTCCGAGTGAGAGGAGACCCATGGTTGCAGTCGCATTAGGGAATTCAGAAGTAAAGCCCTGTTGCTAGGCTACTCGGTAAAGGTTAGCATTAGTGAAAAGGATTAGCTGATCGTGGTTAAAGGAAGCAGAGGGTTGTAGCGTCAAGGGAAGGCGAGAAAGAAGGGAAGGCGAGGAGTACACGATGACCTAAGAAAACGGCTCCCGAGTGGCCTTAATGCTAGCCGGTGCTCTAGAATGCAAACGTCTACGCTCGAGCGAGCAATCGCATCAATGGCGGATCAGTGACAGCAATAGCAGCAACAGCCGAACAATGCAGCTCCGTGCTCCGCCCCATCACCACCAGCACTACTTCACGAGACTACCGTACCACACCACAACCACCCAAGGTCCTATCTGTTCCTTGGCGCCCTGCTTTGTTGTTGAGAGTGCTGCTCTGCTGCTGCTCCTATCTTGGCTTGAGTTCTGTCGACGGCAGGCCATCAAGGAAAGAAAGCGAGCAGGCGAGGGTCAATAAACGTGGGGGGTTGCCCTCGTCCTGCCAATATGGCTAACTTTCGATGTTTCCCGAAGAAGACACCGTCCTGCTCGATAGAGGCCGTATAGTGGCAGAAGACTGAACCACGGAGGTCGACGGGGAGAAACGCTTAACATATCGAGAACAAAAACGATAGCGTTTAAGCCTAGGGTGTTTCGGGACACTAGATCCAACGCATACACCTCAAAACGGAACTTCTTGTCTAGTGTAGAAAACTGGTCAGGGAAGGCGCAAAGCGACACCGTAGTACCAGCTGGCAAACTGGTAGGGGCTTTACCCGAACCTGTTCCCGGGGCTCAACATTTGGCAGCCTGGAAACATTCATCCAACCAGTGAGGTCACCGCTGGTTTGACAAAGCCACGGTGCAGCTAATGCGGACCACAAGCTGGGTTCGGTGTTCACGTCGTGGTTCGCCAAACCGAGCACTGGCTGGCTCGGAGGGCCCTCAATCCAACCAACCAATACTCTGCCAGTGAAAAGAGTCCTCCGTGAAGAGGACCCTCGTCTTGTCGCTTGTGGGATTGGTGGATGATGGTCGAACTACCCTCGCGAATGCACTTCGCACAACGCAGACTGCGAACTGCTTGCGAGTGAGCTGTCCGCGAAGAAGTTACAGCGTACAAGCTGCGAAACAGACACGCCGTTGGCGGCTGTCGTGAGGTTCGCTTGCCCCACTGACTGAGCAAAGTTTCGTGATAGAGTTTCCAACAGAGACTGAAAGACTTCAGCAGGTTACACGTTCAGCCATGGCTGTTGGGAACTCCGCTTCCTGCCTGCCTCCATGTGTCCGCGTTTTTCTGAGACTCCAACATTTCTCCCAGTAAGCAGCGGCCGTTCGGTTGGATCACGATGGCAAGCAATGTAATGGGCTGTCCTTACTAGTAGATCGTCCGAAGCTACATACACTGTTGCGTGACCGTCAACATTGAGCTGATCGACTCTCTCCGCCATGGATTTTCCATCATGGCCCAAGCACTTTTCACTATCTTCCCGTATAGCATCGTTCGTCGCCTCCTTTTTCGCCGTTCTTTGCCTCTCGATCTACCTCCTTCAAGAATCGCGGAACGAGCTGTTGCCTTTCCTCGCAGCCTCCAATTCCAACTTCGCCGACTGGTTACCCGACAATTCGTCCAAGGAAACCGTTTCCTCGCGGAGCCAGCCACCGAATCTTTCGAGAATATGGCGCAAATCGTTCGATGTCGCCTACAGCCAGAATCAACAGCAGCAGTTGCCGGCAGTTTATCAAGATCCGTTGCAAGACTCGCCGCTAGAGCCGTTGCAAAATCCGTTACAAGAGTCATCGCCTGCTTCATCTTCAACATTGGCCCACACGGGCACTGAAGAACGAGCAGCCGAAGCCATATCGGGGAAGCCACAAACGGGGATGGAAGTTGCTCCGCCAGGAGCGGTGGAGGCGGAAGAGCGGTCGGGGGCGAACGGGGGGAAGCGGGAGTCAGAGGCGATCGCGGAACAGGGGCAGCAGCAACAGCAGGAGCAGAAACATGAACCGTCAGAGTTACACATTTTAAACTCCATCCCTGGTTCCAAGCTCACCTCCCCGTCGTCCGTCCGCCACTTCCGCCGCCGCATAGCATGCCTCGCCAGCCAAGGCCGCTGGCTCTACGATCCCTCCCCTAGAATCCTCCCCTGGCCGCCCGGGGGTGGGCGGTCGTTCTCTCACTGCGACAGCGACCTGGTGCAGAAGCACAAGGCGATTGCGGGCGCAAGGGCGAACAAAGTGGTGGTAGAAGGGGGGAGGGAGAAGGACTGGAAAGTGAGGAGCAGCTTAAAGTATGTGTGGAAGGTCCCGGGGTCAGTTGGGTGTGGGGACGCGGGTGGGGGTGGGGGTGGTGATGCTGCTGGTGGTGGTGCGGTTGGTGATGGTGCCAGTGTAGCTGGTGGTGTTGCTTCTGATGGTACTGATGCTGCTGGTGCTGATGCTGGTGCTGGTCGTGCCTCAGTAGGGGAGTCAGGAGGTGCTTCCAGTGGCGGGAGCAACGGGCAAGGCACTTCCGGAAGGGCTCTTGGCGATCAGGAAAGCACAAATGCTCTTGGCAATGCGAGTGACGGCGGGAGTCCCACCAGCCATCCAGCATCGAGTGACAGAAACGGGGCCCTAGGTGACAGCAACGAGGTCTTCCAGGAGTTGCCGCCTTTCAACCGCACCAGGCTCTGCAACCGGCTCGCAGCGACAGCTGGCGGGATACTATTCGTCGGGGATTCCATGACAGGTCAGCTGCAATACTCCTTCCACCACCACATGTTCTTGGGTGTGCACGGCCCCTCCTCCCGCCCCAAATACACTCAAATGAAGCAGTGCAAGATATGGGAGCAGAATCTTAACGAGTATAAGTTTCATCTCTGCGAGCAGTTCAATTACTGTAGAGACCTGGGCCCAGGGCAAGAGGTTCGGGTAATGTACGTTCGTAACGACCACCTCTCGCTTCGAACGGATGCGGAAAACTCGATTCTGGAGCCGTTACGCGGTTACGAGTTACCGTGGATCGAGCATTTGAATGATTGGGGCGTGTCTGCCGTCATTCTCAACCGGGGGCCCATATTGATTACAACTCAACGGTTAAGGACTTTGAAAATGAGTTACAAGCTACACTACTGCGCTTACGCGAACTGTACCCGTTCCTGCTTGTGATTTACCGCAACACTCCGGCTGGGCACGCTAACTGTACGGAGTATCCTCCCGGACCTATTTCCGAGCCTCAGGATCCTGCCAGTCTGCCGTACGAGTGGGGCAGGTTTGTCACCCAGAATGAGATAGCGAGGAGGCTTGTAGAGGGGATAGGAGGAGTGTATCTGGATTTTGCGACTCTGACGGCGTTTAGGCCGGATGGGCACATGGGGTACAGTGGAGGCAAGTATGATTGCTTGCATTACTGCTTGCCTGGGCCACCTGATACGTGGGTACAGCTGATTTATACAGCTCTTATGGAGCTCTTGTAATTTATTTTATACTGCCTACCAACTGAATTTGTGGGGGTATTCACATCACAACGCTCGCCTCGCCTGTTACTGCCGGTATTTGGGTACAGCTGATTTATACAGCTCTTACAGAGCTCTTGTAATTTATATTTTGTATACCAACTGGATTCATGGGTGTATCCACAATGCTTGCTGTGTTATCAGCACTGCTTCTTACCACTGGCCCTGTGGTGCTGTCTGAGGGAGGTGTTACCAACATGCTCGTCTCCTGTACAGCTAGAACCTTTCCCACAAGGGGAGGTAGTATCTGAGACTGACTCCCAAAGAGTCTATCAGGAGGTGTTATCTACCGGAGGGCTAAGCGCTGAATGCTAGCACGAATGAAGCACCGCTCCCAGCCAGGGAGGAGCTATCAGAGGAAGGTGTTATTTACCAGAGTGGTGTTATCTACTGGTATGGCGCTGAACGCTTGCACGAATGAAGCACTGCTCCCAGCACCCAGTAAGAGAGGCTTTATCAGAGGCAGGCGTTATCTATGCCGAGAACGGGGAGAGGGCGGGCTTGTTTGTCTGCGCCTGCAGCAGGAGCGCCTTCTCGACCCCCTCGAGCACCTCGATCACCTCCATGAAAGACGGGCGAGACATGGGGTCTGACGCCCAACACCGGGATATGAGACTGGAGGAGATGGGGGGGCAGTGAAGAAAAGGGAAGCAGACATGTGAAAAAGCAGGGGCGCCGTCTCGACGCCCTTCTCGACCCCTCAAGCACCTCGATCACCTCCATGAAAGACGGGCGAGAGGTGGGGTCTGATGCCCAGCACCGGGATATGAAACTGTTGAGGGAGGGAGGGGAGGGAGGGGAGGGAGGGGACAGGCACAGAAGGGAGAGGAAGCAGAAATGTGGAAAGCAACTTTTTAAACCCCTTCGAGCACCTTGACCCCCTCGATCCTCTCAAGAACTGCCATAAAGGACGGGCGAGAGGTGGGGTCTGACGCGCAGCACCGGGACATGAGACTGGAGAGGGAGGGAGGGAGGGCAGGGAGGGAGCAGGCAGGGAAGGTAGAGAAAGCAGAGATGTGGAAAGCACGTTTTCAAGACTCAAGGCTTGACTCAACCAACCACCCCGGGAACCTTGAGATTAATCTCATCACCAAACACCTCGTTAACTCCCCCTCGTTAACTCCCCCTCGTTAACTCCCCCTCAGCCACTCCCTCTTTAACACCTTCGGGGTACGACTTGGACTTGAACGGCGGTCTGACTCCCTCCCTGACCACCTCTCACAGCTATTCCGTGACAGCCGCATGTTTCAACATCCCCTACTCAACATCCCCCAGTCAACATCCCCCAGTCAACATCCCCCAGTCAACATCCCTCACTCAACACCTCTACTGACGCACTCTTTAACACCTTCGGGGTACGACTTGGATTTGAACGGCGGTCTGACTCCCTCCATGGCCACATCTCACAGCTATTCCGTGACAACCCCCCCAGTCAACATCCCCCATTCAACATCCCCAGTCAACATCCCCCATTCAACATCCCCCATTCAACATCCCCCATTCAACATCCCCCATTCAACATCCCCCATTCAACATCCCCCAGTCAACATCCCCATTCAACATCCCCCAGTCAACATCCCCCAGTCAACATCCCCCATTCAACATCCCCCAGTCAACATCCCCCAGTCAACATCCCCCATTCAACATCCCCCATCACATCCCCCAGTCAACATCCCCCAGTCAACATCCCCCATTCAACATCCCCCATTCAACATCCCCCATTCAACATCCCCCATTCAACATCCCCCAGTCAACATCCCCCAGTCAACATCCCCCATTCAACATCCCCCAGTCAACATCCCCCAGTCAACATCCCCCAGTCAACATCCCCCATTCAACATCCCCCATTCAACATCCCCCAGTCAACATCCCCAGTCAACATCCCCCATTCAACATCCCCCAGTCAACATCCCCCAGTCAACATCCCCCAGTCAACATCCCCCATTCAACATCCCCCAGTCAACATCCCCCATTCAACATCCCCCAGTCAACATCCCCCAGTCAACATCCCCCAGTCAACATCCCCCATTCAACATCCCCCATTCAACATCCCCCAGTCAACATCCCCCAGTCAACATCCCCCATTCAACATCCCCGCCATGTCAACATCCCCCAGTCAACATCCCCCAGTTCAACATCCCCCATTCAACATCCCCATTCAACATCCCCCATTCAACATCCCCCAGTCAACATCCCCCAGTCAACATCCCCCAGTCAACATCCCCCAGTCAACATCCCCAGTCAACATCCCCCAGTCAACATCCCCCAGTCAACATCCCCAGTCAACATCCCCCAGTCAACATCCCCAGTCAACATCCCCAGTCAACATCCCCCAGTCACATAGTCAACATCCCCAGTCAACATCCCCCAGTCAACATCCCCCAGTCAACATCCCTCACTCAACCCCTCTACTGACGCACTCTTTAACACCTTCGGGGTATGACTTGGACTTGAACGGCGGTCTGACTCCCTCCATGGCCACATCTCACAGCTATTCCGTGACAGCCCCCCCATTCAACATCCCCCATTCAACATCCCCCAGTCAACATCCCCCATTCAACATCCCCCATTCAACATCCCCCATTCAACATCCCCCAGTCAACATCCCTCACTCAACCCCTCTACTGACGCACTCTTTAACACCTTCGGGGTATGACTTGGACTTGAACGGCGGTCTGACTCCCTCCATGGCCACATCTCACAGCTATTCCGTGACAACCCCCCCAGTCAACATCCCCCATTCAACATCCCCCATTCAACATCCCCCATTCAACATCCCCCATTCAACATCCCCCAGTCAACATCCCCCAGTCAACATCCCCCATTCAACATCCCCAGTCAACATCCCCCAGTCAACATCCCCCAGTCAACATCCCCCAGTCAACATCCCCCAGTCAACATCCCTCACTCAACCCCTCTACTGACGCACTCTTTAACACCTTCGGGGTATGACTTGGACTTGAACGGCGGTCTGACTCCCTCCATGGCCACATCTCACAGCTATTCCGTGACAACCCCCCAGTCAACATCCCCCATTTCAACATCCCCCATTCAACATCCCCCATTCAACATCCCCCATTCAACATCCCCCAGTCAACATCCCCCAGTCAACATCCCCATTCTCCCCCAGTCAACATCCCCCAGTCAACATCCCCCAGTCAACATCCCCCAGTCAACATCCCCCAGTCAACATCCCCCAGTCAACATCCCCCAGTCAACATCCCCCAGTCAACATCCCCCAGTCAACATCCCCCAGTCAACATCCCCCAGTCAACATCCCCAGTCAACATCCCCCAGTCAACATCCCTCACTCAACCCCTCTACTGACGCACTCTTTAACACCTTCGGGGTATGACTTGGACTTGAACGGCGGTCTGACTCCCTCCATGGCCACATCTCACAGCTATTCCGTGACAACCCCCCCAGTCAACATCCCCCAGTCAACATCCCCCATTCAACATCCCCCAGTCAACATCCCCCATTCAACATCCCCAGTCAACATCCCCCATTCAACATCCCCCAGTCAACATCCCCCAGTCAACATCCCCATTCAACATCCCCCATTCAACATCCCCCATTCAACATCCCCCATTCAACATCCCCCAGTCAACATCCCCCAGTCAACATCCCCCATTCAACATCCCCCAGTCAACATCCCCCAGTCAACATCCCCCAGTCAACATCCCCCAGTCAACATCCCCCAGTCAACATCCCCCAGTCAACATCCCCCAGTCAACATCCCCCAGTCAACATCCCCCAGTCAACATCCCCCAGTCACATCCCCCAGTCAACATCCCCCAGTCAACATCCCTCACTCAACCCCTCTACTGACGCACTCTTTAACACCTTCGGGGTATGACTTGGACTTGAACGGCGGTCTGACTCCCTCCATGGCCACATCTCACAGCTATTCCGTGACAGCCCCCCCATTCAACATCCCCCAGTCAACATCCCCCATTCAACATCCCCCAGTCAACATCCCCCAGTCAACATCCCCCATTCAACATCCCCCATTCAACATCCCCCATTCAACATCCCCCATTCAACATCCCCCAGTCAACATCCCCCAGTCAACATCCCCCATTCAACATCCCCCAGTCAACATCCCCTCACACCCCAGTCAACATCCCCCAGTCAACATCCCCCAGTCAACATCCCCCAGTCAACATCCCCCAGTCAACATCCCCCAGTCAACATCCCCCAGTCAACATCCCTCACTCAACCCCTCTACTGACGCACTCTTTAACACCTTCGGGTATGACTTGGACTTGAACGGCGGTCTGACTCCCTCCATGGCCACATCTCACAGCTATTCCGTGACAGCCCCCCCATTCAACATCCCCCATTCAACATCCCCAGTCAACATCCCCCATTCAACATCCCCCAGTCAACATCCCCCATTCAACATCCCCCATTCAACATCCCCCATTCAACATCCCCCATTCAACATCCCCCAGTCAACATCCCCCAGTCAACATCCCCCAGTCAACATCCCCCATTCAACATCCCCCATTCAACATCCCCCATTCAACATCCCCCATTCAACATCCCCCAGTCAACATCCCCCAGTCAACATCCCCCATTCAACATCCCCCAGTCAACATCCCCCAGTCAACATCCCCCAGTCAACATCCCCAGTCAACATCCCTCACTCAACCCCTCTACTGACGCACTCTTTAACACCTTCGGGGTATGACTTGGACTTGAACGGCGGTCTGACTCCCTCCATGGCCACATCTCACAGCTATTCCGTGACAACCCCCCCAGTCAACATCCCCCATTCAACATCCCCCATTCAACATCCCCCATTCAACATCCCCCATTCAACATCCCCCATTCAACATCCCCCATTCAACATCCCCCATTCAACATCCCCCAGTCAACATCCCCCAGTCAACATCCCCCAGTCAACATCCCCCAGTCAACATCCCCCAGTCAACATCCCCCAGTCAACATCCCCCAGTCAACATCCCCCAGTCAACATCCCCCAGTCAACATCCCCCAGTCAACATCCCTCACTCAACCCCTCTACTGACGCACTCTTTAACACCTTCGGGGTATGACTTGGACTTGAACGGCGGTCTGACTCCCTCCATGGCCACATCTCACAGCTATTCCGTGACAGCCCCCCCATTCAACATCCCCCATTCAACATCCCCCAGTCAACATCCCCCATTCAACATCCCCCATTCAACATCCCCCATTCAACATCCCCCAGTCAACATCCCCTAGTCAACATCCCCCAGGCAACATCCCTCACTCAACCCCTCTACTGACGCACTCTTTAACACCTTCGGGGTACGACTTGGATTTGAACGGCGGTCGGATTCCCTCCATGGCTACTTTCCACGCGACCCCCTCCGGTGTCATGGTCTTGGCAAAGGGTGGTAGGCCCTCAAACATCTGGGCGAGAAGAGGGGAGTTGAAAGGGGGGGGGGGGGGGGGAGTTGGTGGGGGGGGAGAGGACACATATAGCTTCCATTGGTGGTGTGATTCCTTCCATGGCCACTTTCCACGCAACCCCCTCTGGTGTCATGGTCTTGACAAAGGGTGGTCGGCCCTCAAACATATGGGCGAGGGAGGAGGGAGGAGGGAGGAGGGAGGAGGGGAGGAGGGGAGCCAGCATGCCTCACAGTCGATCAGAGCCGTGCATCTCACCCTGTGAACAACCACAGCCGTTCATCTCACCTCATAGAAGATGACAGAAAGGGAGTAGGCGTCCATACTGCGAACATACGCCTCGTGCTTGAAGGCTAATATAGAAGATTTGTTTTGAGACGTCTCAAAACAAATCTTCCTATCACGTATCCACATATCAGATCAGGCCTTATCACTGAAGGTGACAAGGCCTGATCACAGCCGTTCAACCGAAAGATCACAGCCGCCCAAACTCCCCCTGCAACTCATCACAGCCGTCCATCTCACCTCATAGAAGATGGCGGAGAAGGAGTAGACGTCCACACTCGGATCGTATGCCTGGTGCTTGAAGACCTCAGTGAGAAGCATGCCTCACGGTTGATCACAGCCGTGTATCTCAAACTGCAAGCGATCACAGTCGTCCATCTCACCTCATAGAAGATGACGGAGAAGGAGTAGACGTCCACACTGCGATCGTACGCCTGGTGCTTGAAGACCTCTGGAGCCATGTAGCGGTCTGAAGGAGTAGAGAGGGGTAGGGAGGGGTATAGAGGAAGAGAAGATGACAGGTTGGAGGGGAGCGGAGGGGCCAGCAAGGAGTAGACATCCACACCGCGATCGTACGCCTGGTGCTTGAAGACGTCTGGAGCCATGTAGCGACGGTCTGTGAGGGAGCAGAGGGGGGGAAGGTGGTGCGAATGGGGAAGGTGAAAGGGGAAGATGAAAGGGGAAGGCTGTTTTTGGACGTGAAACTGCACCAGGTGCTTGACCAATGATCTCCTCTGGCACCACCTGAACAGCCTACGCAGCCCGCAGGCCCACAGCCCGCAGCCCACAGCCCACAGCCCACAGCCCACAGCCCACAGCCACAGCCCACAGCCCACAGCCCACAGCCCACAGCCCACATCAGGCACAGCTACCACCACTCACAGCTACCACCACTCACAGCTACCACCACTCACAGCTACCACCACTCACAGCTACCACCACTCACAGCTACCACCACTCACAGCTACCCACTCACAGCTACCACCCACTCACAGCTACCACCACTCACAGCTACCACCACTCACAGCTACCACCACCCCACCACTCACAGCTACCCCCACTCACAGCTACCACCACTAACAGCTACCACCACTCACAGCTACCACCACTCACAGCTACCACCACTCACAGCTACCACCACTCACAGCTACCACCACTCACAGCTACCACCACTCACAGCTACCACCACTCACAGCTACCACCACTCACAGCTACCACCACTCACAGCTACCACCACTCACAGCTACCCCCACTCACAGCTACCACCACTCACAGCTACCCCCCACTCACAGCTACCACCACTCACAGCTACCACCACTCACAGAAAACCACCACTCACAGCTACCCCCCACTCACAGCTACCACCACTCACAGCTACCACCACTCACAGCTACCACCACTCACAGCTACCACCACTCACAGCTACCACCACTCACAGCTACCACCACTCACAGCTACCACCACTCACAGCTACCACCACTCACAGCTACCACCACTCACAGCTACCACCACTCACAGCTACCACCACTCACAGCTACCACCACTCACAGCTACCACCACTCACAGCTACCACCACTCACAGCTACCACCACTCACAGCTACCACCACTCACAGCTACCACCACTCACAGCTACCACCACTCACAGCTACCACCACTCACAGCTACCACCACTCACAGCTACCACCACTCACAGCTACCACCACTCACAGCTACCACCACTCACAGCTACCACCACTCACAGCTACCACCACTCACAGCTACCACCACTCACAGCTACCACCACTCACAGCTACCACCACTCACAGCTACCACCACTCACAGCTACCACCACTCACAGCTGCCACCACTCACAGCTGCCACCACTCACAGCTACCACCACTCACAGCTACCACCACTCACAGCTACCACCACTCACAGCAACCACCACTCACAGCTACCACCACTCACCGCTACCACCACTCACAGCTACCACCACTCACAGCTACCACCACTCACAGCTACCACCACTCACAGCTGCCACCACTCACAGCTACCACCACTCACAGCTGCCACCACTCACAGCTACCACCACTCACAGCTACCACCACTCACAGCTACCACCAACTCACAGCTGCCACCACTCACAGCTACCACCACTCACAGCTACCACCACTCACAGCTACCACCACTCACAGCTACCACCACTCACAGCTACCACCACTCACAGCTACCACCACTCACAGCTACCACCACTCACAGCTGCCACCACTCACAGCCCACACTCACAGCTACCACCACTCACAGCTGCCACACTCACAGCTACCACCACTCACAGCTGCCACCACTCACAGCTGCCACCACTCACAGCTGCACCACTCACAGCTGCCGGTCTCCCCCGTCATCTTGTACATCTGAATGTATACCATACGTCCAACATCAGGCAGAACTCTGCTATTAAGCCCGTAGCATACCTGCCGCATTCCCACTTCCTCCAACTCACAGCTACCACCACTCACAGCTGCCACCACTCACAGCTACCAACACTCACAGCTACCACCACTCACAGCTACCACCACTCACAGCTACCACCACTCACAGCTACCACCACTCACAGCTCCACCACTCACAGCTGCCACCACTCACAGCTGCCACCACTCACAGCTGCCACCACTCACAGCTGCCACCACTCACAGCTGCCACCACTCACAGCTCCCACCACTCACAGCTACCACCACTCACAGCTACCACCACTCACAGCTGCCACCACTCACAGCTACCACCACTCACAGCTGCCACCACTCACAGCTGCCGGTCTCCCCCGTCATCTTGTACATCTGAATGTATACCATACGTCCAACATCAGGCAGAACTCTGCTATTAAGCCCGTAGCATACCTGCCGCATTCCCACTTCCTCCAACTCACAGCTACCACCACTCACAGCTGCCACCACTCACAGCTACCACCACTCACAGCTACCCACCACTCACAGCTACCACCACTCACAGCAACCACCACTCACAGCTACCACCACTCACCGCTACCACCACTCACAGCTACCACCACTCACAGCTACCACCACTCACAGCTACCACCACTCACAGCTGCCACCACTCACAGCTACCACCACTCACAGCTGCCACCACTCACAGCTACCACACTCACAGCTACCACCACTCACAGCTACCACCACTCACAAGCTGCCACCACTCACAGCTACCACCACTCACAGCTACCACCACTCACAGCTACCACCACTCACAGCTACCACCACTCACAGCTACCACCACTCACAGCTACCACCACTCACAGCTACCACCACTCACAGCTGCCACCACTCACAGCTACCACCACTCACAGCTACCACCACTCACAGCTACCACCACTCACAGCTACCACCACTCACAGCTGCCACCACTCACAGCTGCCACCACTCACAGCTGCCACCACTCACAGCTGCCGGTCTCCCCCGTCATCTTGTACATCTGAATGTATACCATACGTCCAACATCAGGCAGAACTCTGCTATTAAGCCCGTAGCATACCTGCCGCATTCCCACTTCCTCCAACTCACAGCTACCACCACTCACAGCTGCCACCACTCACAGCTACCACCACTCACAGCTACCACCACTCACAGCTACCACCACTCACAGCTACCACCACTCACAGCTACCACCACTCACAGCTGCCACCACTCACAGCTGCCACCACTCACAGCTGCCACCACTCACAGCTGCCACCACTCACAGCTGCCACCACTCACAGCTGCCACCACTCACAGCTCCCACCACTCACAGCTACCACCACTCACAGCTACCACCACTCACAGCTGCCACCACTCACAGCTACCACCACTCACAGCTGCCACCACTCACAGCTGCCGGTCTCCCCCGTCATCTTGTACATCTGAATGTATACCATACGTCCAACATCAGGCAGAACTCTGCTATTAAGCCCGTAGCATACCTGCCGCATTCCCACTTCCTCCAACTCACAGCTACCACCACTCACAGCTGCCACCACTCACAGCTACCACCACTCACAGCTACCACCACTCACAGCTACCACCACTCACAGCTACCACCACTCACAGCTACCACCACTCACAGCTACCACCACTCACAGCTACCACCACTCACAGCTACCACCACTCACAGCTACCACCACTCACAGCTACCACCACTCACAGCTGCCACCACTCACAGCTGCCACCACTCACAGCTGCCACCACTCACAGCTGCCACCACTCACAGCTGCCACCACTCACAGCTGCCACCACTCACAGCTCCCACCACTCACAGCTACCACCACTCACAGCTGCCACCACTCACAGCTACCACCACTCACAGCTACCACCACTCACAGCTACCACCACTCACAGCTGCCACCACTCACAGCTACCACCACTCACAGCTACCACCACTCACAGCTACCACCACTCACAGCTACCACCACCACAGTACCACCACTCACAGCTTGCCACCACTCACAGCTGCCACCACTCAACAGCTGCCACCACTCACAGCTGCCACCACTCACAGCTGCCACCACTCACAGCTGCCACCACTCACAGCTCCCACCACTCACAGCTACCACCACTCACAGCTGCCACCACTCACAGCTACCACCACTCACAGCTACCACCACTCACAGCTACCACCACTCACAGCTGCCACCACTCACAGCTACCACCACTCACAGCTGCCACCACTCACAGCTACCACCACTCACAGCTACCACCACTCACAGCTACCACCACTCACAGCTGCCACCACTCACAGCTACCACCACTCACAGCTACCACCACTCACAGCTACCACCACTCACAGCTACCACCACTCACAGCTACCACCACTCACAGCTACCACCACTCACAGCTACCACCACTCACAGCTGCCACCACTCACAGCTACCACCACTCACAGCTACCACCACTCACAGCTACCACCACTCACAGCTGCCACCACTCACAGCTACCACCACTCACAGCTGCCACCACTCACAGCTGCCGGTCTCCCCCGTCATCTTGTACATCTGAATGTATACCATACGTCCAACATCAGGCAGAACTCTGCTATTAAGCCCGTAGCATACCTGCTGCATTCCCACTTCCTCCAACTCACAGCTACCACCACTCACAGCTACCACCACTCACAGCTACCACCACTCACAGCTACCACCACTCACAGCTACCACCACTCACAGCTACCACCACTCACAGCTGCCACCACTCACAGCTACCACCACTCACAGCTGCCACCACTCACAGCTGCCGGTCTCCCCCGTCATCTTGTACATCTGAATGTATACCATACGTCCAACATCAGGCAGAACTCTGCTATTAAGCCCGTAGCATACCTGCCGCATTCCCACTTCCTCCAACTCACAGCTACCACCACTCACAGCTGCCACCACTCACAGCTACCACCACTCACAGCTACCACCACTCACAGGCTACCACCACTCACAGCTACCACCAACTCAACAGCTACCCACTCACAGCTGCCACCACTCACAGCTGCCACCACTCACAGCTGCCACCACTCACAGCTGCCACCACTCACAGCTGCCACCACTCACAGCTGCCACCACTCACAGCTACCACCACTCACAGCTACCACCACTCACAGCTACCACCACTCACAGCTGCCACCACTCACAGCTACCACCACTCACAGCTGCCACCACTCACAGCTGCCGGTCTCCCCCGTCATCTTGTACATCTGAATGTATACCATACGTCCAACATCAGGCAGAACTCTGCTATTAAGCCCGTAGCATACCTGCCGCATTCCCACTTCCTCCAACTCACAGCTACCACCACTCACAGCTACCACCACTCACAGCTACCACCACTCACAGCTACCACCACTCACAGCTACCACCACTCACAGCTACCACCACTCACAGCTACCACCACTCACAGCTGCCACCACTCACAGCTGCCACACTCACAGCTGCCACCACTCACAGCTGCCACCACTCACAGCTGCCACCACTCACAGCTGCCACCACTCACAGCTCCCACCAGCTCCACTAGCTACCACCACTCACAGCTGCCACCACTCACAGCTACCACCACTCACAGCTACCACCACTCACAGCTACCACCACTCACAGCTGCCACCACTCACAGCTACCACCACTCACAGCTGCCACCACTCACAGCTACCACCACTCACAGCTACCACCACTCACAGCTACCACCACTCACAGCTGCCACCACTCACAGCTACCACCACTCACAGCTACCACCACTCACAGCTACCACCACTCACAGCTACCACCACTCACAGCTACCACCACTCACAGCTACCACCACTCACAGCTACCACCACTCACAGCTGCCACCACTCACAGCTACCACCACTCACAGCTACCACCACTCACAGCTACCACCACTCACAGCTGCCACCACTCACAGCTACCACCACTCACAGCTGCCACCACTCACAGCTGCCGGTCTCCCCCGTCATCTTGTACATCTGAATGTATACCATACGTCCAACATCAGGCAGAACTCTGCTATTAAGCCCGTAGCATACCTGCTGCATTCCCACTTCCTCCAACTCACAGCTACCACCACTCACAGCTACCACCACTCACAGCTACCACCACTCACAGCTACCACCACTCACAGCTACCACCACTCACAGCTACCACCACTCACAGCTACCACCACTCACAGCTGCCACCACTCACAGCTACCACCACTCACAGCTACCACCACTCACAGCTACCACCACTCACAGCTGCCACCACTCACAGCTACCACCACTCACAGCTGCCACCACTCACAGCTGCCGGTCTCCCCCGTCATCTTGTACATCTGAATGTATACCATACGTCCAACATCAGGCAGAACTCTGCTATTAAGCCCGTAGCATACCTGCTGCATTCCCACTTCCTCCAACTCACAGCTACCACCACTCACAGCTACCACCACTCACAGCTACCACCACTCACAGCTACCACCACTCACAGCTACCACCACTCACAGCTACCACCACTCACAGCTGCCACCACTCACAGCTACCACCACTCACAGCTACCACCACTCACAGCTACCACCACTCACAGCTGCCACCACTCACAGCTACCACCACTCACAGCTGCCACCACTCACAGCTGCCGGTCTCCCCCGTCATCTTGTACATCTGAATGTATACCATACGTCCAACATCAGGCAGAACTCTGCTATTAAGCCCGTAGCATACCTGCTGCATTCCCACTTCCTCCAACTCACAGCTACCACCACTCACAGCTACCACCACTCACAGCTACCACCACTCACAGCTACCACCACTCACAGCTACCACCACTCACAGCTGCCGGTCTCCCCAGTCATCTTGTGCAATAGGTTTCGCCCTCCCCGCAGAATCAAGCTGGTTCCGATTCTATAACTCCATCCCCACTCAAAGCTAGTTTTGAGGCGCCTCAAAACTCGTCCCTGCAGAATCAAGCTGGTTCCAATGCTATACCTCCATCCCCACTCAAAGCTGCCGGTCTCCCCAGTCATCTTGTGCATCTCATGCAAAGCATTCACTGCCTCGAGGGCAAACCACGTCAGGCACACCTCCGCTATTGAGCGCTTACAAGTTACCATACCTGCCAGCCATCCACATACACACAGAGCAACCAGGCACTCACAGCTGCCGGTCTCCCCAGTCATCTTGTGCATCTCGTGCAGCGCAGTGATGTGAGGTTCAACCCGTACCTCTCCATGTACCTCCTATACTCACAGCTGCCGGTCTCCCCAGTCATCTTGTACATCTCGTGCAAAGCATTCACTTTCACGAGCTTGCTCAATCCGAAATCCGCCACCTTGAGATGGTCCCCCTCGTCGCGAATCAGATTTCTGAAGCAGCCAGCAGCAAGGGCAGGCGAAGGGTGGGAAGGATGGAGGAAGGCAAGGGAATGGGATAGTGGACGGGAGGGAGAATGGCATTGAGATAGAGTGCCTTCACTTTCACGAGCTTGCTCAAACCGATATCTGCCACCTTGAGATGGCCCCCCTCGTTCCGAATAAGATTCCTGTCAGCAGCCAGCAGCAAGGGCAGGAAAAGGGTGGGAAGGCCGGAGGAAGGCAAGGGATGGGATAGTGGTCGGGAGGGAGACGGCACTAAATAAACCCAAACCGATATCCGCGACCTTGAGATGGTGCCCCTCGTTCCGAATGAGATTCCTGCTGCCAGGAACCAAGGGCCAGCACCACAATGGGCAAGGGAGTGGGGAAGAGTGGCAAGTGCAGGGAGGAAGGCAAGGCAAGGGGATGGGGTGGGGAGGACAGAGAAGAAAGGGGCAACAAAGTTCGCAACCTTGAGATGATCTGACTTTTGAGTCGACTCAAAAGTCATCCCCCTCTGCTTTTGAGTTTACTCAAAGTGGCGGACCACTCAAAAGAAGTCCACCACCATCAGATGACCCTAGTGTTGTTAGCCATGTCGTCAGATGAACTCAGAAAGCTGAACTCAGCAGTCCTCTTTTGAGGCGCCTCAAAAGCTGAACTCAGCAGTCCTCTTTTGAGGCGCCTCAAAAGCTGAACTCAGCAGTCCTCTTTTGAGGCGCCTCAAAAGCTGAACTCAGCAGTCCCCCACCATCAGGTGATCCACCTCGCCGCGAATCAGGTTTCTGCTGCCAGCAAGGCAGGGGTGAGGCAGGGGAAGGGAGAAAGGCAAGGAAACGGAAAGTGGGAGGGAAGGAGAAGAGCCTCTTGGTAAAGCAGGAAGGAGAAGAGCCTCTTGGTAAAGCAGGAAGGAGAAGAGCCTCTTTGAAAAGCAGGAAGGAGAAGAGCCTCTTGGTAAAGCAGGAAGGAGAAGAGCCTCGTGGTAAAGCAGGAAGGAGAAGAGCCTCTTGGTAAAACAGGAAGGAGAAGAGCCTCTTGGTAAAGCAGGAAGGAGAAGAGCCTCTTTGAAAAGCAGGAAGGAGAAGAGCCTCTTGGTAAAGCAGGAAGGAGAAGAGCCTCTTGGTAAAGCAGGAAGGAGAAGAGCCTCTTGGTAAAGCAGGAAGGAGAAGAGCCTCTTTGAAAAGCAGGAAGGAGAAGAGCCTCTTGGTAAAGCAGGAAGGAGAAGAGCCTCTTTGAAAAGCAGGAAGGAGAAGAGCCTCTTGGTAAAGCAGGAAGGAGAAGAGCCTCTTGGTAAAGCAGGAAGGAGAAGAGCCTCTTGGTAAAGCAGGAAGGAGAAGAGCCTCTTTGAAAAGCAGGAAGGAGAAGAGCCTCTTGGTAAAGCAGGAAGGAGAAGAGCCTCTTTGAAAAGCAGGAAGGAGAAGAGCCTCTTTGAAAAGCAGGAACGGCCACATTCAAATGAACCCCTTAATGGCCACTCCTTGCATTCAGCTTGCACTGGATGGTTCATTAAGATTATAACACAAAGAATAAAAATACATCGCATAAGCATAAACTTATAGCGCACCTTGGCTTGAGGTCTCTGTGGATAATAGACTCCGGCTTATGGTTGTGAAGGTAGTTCATTCCCCTGCACGAGACACATGGGGCCAAACAAGGAAAGAGTTGTGTGACATTGTAACGAGGTGACTTTCGAGTCGACTCAATCACCACGAGACACATGGAGCCAAACATGGAAAGAGTTGCGTGACATTGTAACGAGGTGACTTTCGAGTCGACTCAATCACCACGAGACACATGGGGCCAAACACGGAAAGAGTTGTGTGACATTGTAACGAGGTGACTCTTGAGTCGACTCAATCACCACGAGACACAGGGGGCCAAACACGGAAAGAGTTGTGTGACATTGTAACGAGGTGACTTTCGAGTCGACTCAATCACCACGAGACACATGGGGCCAAACACGGAAAGAGTTGCGTGACATTGTAACGAGGTGACTTTCGAGTCGACTCAATCACCACGAGACACATGGAGCCAAACATGGAAAGAGTTGCGTGACATTGTAACGAGGTGACTTTCGAGTCGACTCAATCACCACGAGACACATGGGGCCAAACACGGAAAGAGTTGTGTGACATTGTAACGAGGTGACTCTTGAGTCGACTCAATCACCACGAGACACAGGGGGCCAAACACGGAAAGAGTTGTGTGACATTGTAACGAGGTGACTTTCGAGTCGACTCAATCACCACGAGACACATGGGGCCAAACACGGAAAGAGTTGCGTGACATTGTAACGAGGTGACTTTTGAGTCGACTCAATCACCACGAGACACATGGGGCCAAACACGGAAAGAGTTGTGTGACATTGTAACGAGGTGACTTTTGAGTCGACTCAATCACCACGAGACACACGGAGCCAAACAAGGAAAGAGTTGCGTGACATTGTAACGAGGTGACTTTCGAGTCGACTCAATCACCACGAGACACATGGGGCCAAACACGGAAAGAGTTGCGTGACATTGTAACGAGGTGACTTTTGAGTCGACTCAATCACCACGAGACACATGGGGCCAAACAAGGAAAGAGTTGCGTGCCATTGTAACGAGGTGACTTTCGAGTCGACTCAATCACCACGAGACACATGGGGCCAAACACGGAAAGAGTTGCGTGACATTGTAACGAGGTGACTTTTGAGTCGACTCAATCACCACGAGACACATGGGGCCAAACACGGAAAGAGTTGTGTGACATTGTAACGAGGTGACTTTTGAGTCGACTCAATCACCACGAGACACACGGAGCCAAACAAGGAAAGAGTTGCGTGACATTGTAACGAGGTGACTTTCGAGTCGACTCAATCACCACGAGACACATGGGGCCAAACACGGAAAGAGTTGCGTGACATTGTAACGAGGTGACTTTTGAGTCGACTCAATCACCACGAGACACATGGGGCCAAACAAGGAAAGAGTTGCGTGACATTGTAACGAGGTGACTTTCGAGTCGACTCAATCACCACGAGACACATGGGGCCAAACACGGAAAGAGTTGCGTGACATTGTAACGAGGTGACTTTTGAGTCGACTCAATCACCACGAGACACATGGGGCCAAACACGGAAAGAGTTGTGAGACATTGTAACGAGGTGACTTTTGAGTCGACTCAATCACCACGAGACACACGGAGCCAAACAAGGAAAGAGGGGGTGGGGAGGGGGGAGAGAGTGAGAGAGAATGAGAGAGAGAGAGAGAGAGAGAGAGAGAGAGAGAGAGAGAGAGAGAGAGAGAGAGAGAGAGAGAGAGAGAGAGAGAGAGAGAGAGCGCGCGAAACGGTGTTGGCAAAAGAGGGATAGCTAGCCAGTATCTTGGGGTCTGATAGAATCTAGCTCCCCCCTCTCACCTGGCGGTACCGAGCCCACCTCACCTGGCAATATCAAGCCCGTAGCCAACCGCTATTCTGGGGGGCAAAGCGCCCTTGGACTTGAGCACGTCGTGAAGGTCGCCCTGAGACGGGAGAGAGGCGGGGTTGGGACGAGAGTGAGAGGGTGAAGGAGAGGCAGAGGGGGGAGTGGGGGCAGTGCGCCCATGAACTTGTGCACGTTGCGCAGATAGCTCTGAGGAGCTCGGATGGTGAGGGAGGGGAGAAGGGCGTGGCGGGGGGGGAGATTGGATAGTGAGGACGGCGCAGCGCGCCTTTGGAGTTGAGTCAGAGAGGAGGCAGTTCAGGTCGCCCCGACGAGGCAGAGGAGGAGGGAAGGAGGGTGATGAATTACGAGTGGGGGTCGAGGGAAGCATGTAAAGAGGGAGGGGGAGAGGAGGGCTCTAGGTATGGCACCCTCGGAATACACGGACGAGTGACAGGGACAAGTATAAAGGCACGTGCATTAACGTGGGTAAATAGCCCTGAAAATTAAATACCCCAAAAGTTGGTTACCCCTAGAGGGTACTTACCCCTGGGAGGTACTCGGTGACAAGGCAGAGGGGAGGGCGGCGGGTGACACAACCCAAGAACTGCACTATGTTGGGATGCTGCAGCTTGGGCATGTTTCTTTATCCCTCACCAGCATTGCACGTACTCACTCACCCCTGGCAGGTACTCCGCCACAAGGCACAGGGGAGGCCAACTGGGAGGTACTTGGCAAGTATGCAATGCACGGACTCACTCACCCCTGGCAGGAACTCGGTCACGAAGGCAGAGAGGAGGCCCCCCACGAGGTACTTGGCAAGTATGCAATGCAGGTACTCACTCACCCCTGGGAGACACTCGGGGACAAGGCAGAGGGGAGGCCTGCGGGTGATGCAGCCCAGGAACTGCACTATGCTGGGATGCTGCAGCTTGGGCAGGTTTCTCTATCCCTCACCAGTACGGCACATACTCACCCCTGGGAGGTACTCCGTCACAAGGCCAGTACTCACCCCTGGGAGGTACTCCGTCACAAGGCCAGTACTCACCCCTGGGAGATACTCGGTGACGAGGCAGAGGGGAGGGCGGCGGGTGACACAGCCCAGGAACTGCACGATGTTGGGATGCCGCAGCTTGGGCAGCAGAAACATCTCGTCCCGGAACTCCTTCCTGCCCGTCTCCAAACGGTTACAGAACGTGAGAAAAAATAAACAGTGCACAAAAATAGGGCATAGCGGATTACTAGTTAAAACAGGCTTTGTAGATGCTGATGTATGACCAAAAGAGGACGCTGCCACTAGCGCATACTAGCGTGTATTGTACGCACGCACGTGTACTAGTGGTATAGACTGGCTTCTGTTGAACAAGCACTTGATAGACAGCTCTTTGCTCTTATAAAGAGTATGAGTGTAGAAATGCACATGATCTGCCTTCTTTTGAGTAGGAACGCCTCAAGTAGGAACGCCTCAAGAGTATGAGTGTAAGACCACACATGATCTGCACGTCATCCAATAGACTCGACAAAATTGTACCGGCGGCCACAGGGGTGCCTCTCCACAAAGTTTGCCGCGTCTCAATACAACCAGAGAGCATCGGAGAAGATGCTCTCACGTGATTTGAACATCGTCTCAATACAACCAGAGAGCATCGGAGAAGATGCACTCACATGATTTGAACATCGTCTCAATACAACCAGAGAGCATCGGAGAAGATGCACTCACGTGATTTGAACATCGTCTCAATACAACCAGAGAGCATCGGAGAAGATGCACTCACGTGATTTGAACATCGTCTCAATACAGCCAGAGAGCATCGGAGAAGATGCACTCACGTGATTTGAACATCGTCTCAATACAACCAGAGAGCATCGGAGAAGATGCACTCACGTGATTTGAACATCGTCTCAATACAACCAGAGAGCATCGGAGAAGATGCACTCACGTGATTTGAACATCGTCTCAATACAACCAGAGAGCATCGGAGAAGATGCACTCACGTGATTTGAACATCGTCTCAATACAGCCAGAGAGCATCGGAGAAGATGCACTCACGTGATTTGAACATCGTCTGACAGACCCGGCAGGATGGTCTTGGCAGCCACAGGAGTTCCTCGCCACATGACCCGCCTTATCTCCCCGAATGCTCCCTGCCATGAGATCGGGTGTTCCATGGGGAAGGGATGGGGGGTTCCATGGGGAAGGGATGGGGGGGGATAGGAGTCTAGTTTTGAGGCGCCTCAAAACTAGACTCCTATCACGCGAATGCTCCCTGCCACGAGATCGGGGGTTCCATGGGGAAGGGATGGGGGGTTCCATGGGGAAGGGATGGGGGGTTCCATGGGGAAGGGATGGGCTGTTCCATGGGGAAGGGATGGGGGGTTCCATGGGGAAGGGATGGGGGGTTCCATGGGGAAGGGATGGGGGGTTCCATGGGGAAGAGATGGGGGGTTCCATGGGGAAGGGATGGGGGGTTCCATGGGGAAGAGATGGGGGTTCCATGGGGAAGGGATGGGGGGTTCCATGGGGAAGGGATGGGGGGGGATAGGAGTCTAGTTTTGAGGCGCCTCAAAACTAGACTCCTATCACGCGAATGCTCCCTGCCACGAGATCGGGGGTTCCATGGGGAAGGGATGGGGGGTTCCATGGGGAAGGGATGGGGGGTTCCATGGGGAAGGGATGGGCTGTTCCATGGGGAAGGGATGGGGGGTTCCATGGGGAAGGGATGGGGGGTTCCATGGGAAGGGATGGGGGGTTCCATGGGGAAGAGATGGGGGGTTCCATGGGGAAGGGATGGGGGGTTCCATGGGGAAGAGATGGGGGTTCCATGGGGAAGGGATGGGGGTTCCATGGGGAAGGGATGGGGGGTTCCATGGGGAAGGGATGGGGGGGGATAGGAGTCTAGTTTTGAGGCGCCTCAAAACTAGACTCCTATCACGCGAATGCTCCCTGCCACGAGATCGGGGGTTCCATGGGGAAGGGATGGGGGGTTCCATGGGGAAGGGATGGGGGTGGTTCCATGGGGAAGGGATGGGGGGGGAAGAAAATGGTCGAGGTGTGGGGGAAGCCGGACGGGAGGGAGGGATGGGGGGAGGTGGAAGGGGGATATTGAGGAAGTGGATGGGAGGGAGGGATGGGGGGAGATGGAAGAGCGGGGGAAGGGAATTGCAAGGTTGGAAGGGGAATGAGAGGGAGCAAGGGGAGGGGAAGGAGCAAGGGGAGGGGAAGGAGGGAAGGAGGCATACAATCGACTTGAAACTTCACTCCAAGCAATGCCAATCACACACAAACAGATAGTCACACATACACACACCCACACCCCCACACACACACACATGCGCGCGAACTCAAAAACACACACACAAACAGTGCCAGGGACCCACCTTGCCAATGAGTTTCGACTTGCTGAAATCCAGCTCGCACGGATCTATTTCCCAGTCGTCCGCCTCCGCACCCTGTGGTGTTGAGAGTGGTAACGTGCAGTTTCATACACTGTCATGCGGTGCCATGCAGTGTTGTGCGAAGTTACGCGGTGCCATGCAGTGTGGTGGGGTGTAATACAGTGTTATGTGGTGATGTGCAGTGTTATGTGGTGATGTGCGGTCGTCTGTGGTTTTATGAGAATGTGCATCACAAGCGACAGACACACCAAGTCAGAAAACGTCGTGGTTTGAAAACGGGACCCTCAACGAGCCTAGAGGGGGTACGACTCAAAGAGCCTTTAGGTGGTACGACTCAAAGAGCCTTTAGGTGGTACGACTCAAAGAGCCTTTCGGTGGTACGACTCAAAGAGCCTTTAGGTGGTACGACTCAAAGAGCCTTTAGGTGGTACGACTCAAAGAGCCTTTAGGTGGTACGACTCAAAGAGCCTTTAGGTGGTACGACTCAAAGAGCCTTTAGGTGGTACGACTCAAAGAGCCTTTAGGTGGTACGACTCAAAGAGCCTTTAGGGGGTACGACTCAATGAGCCTTTAGGTGGTACGACTCAAAGAGCCTTTAGGTGGTACGACTCAAAGAGCCTTTAGGTGGTACGACTCAAAGAGCCTTTAGGTGGTACGACTCAATGAGCCTTGCATGTTTCATCACTCACCCCCTCACATGCCCACCATCTCATCACCATCTCAAAGAGCCTTGCATGTTTCATCACTCACCCCCTCACATGCCCACCATCTCATCACCATCTCAAAGAGCCTTGCATGTTTCATCACTCACCCCCTCACATGCCCACCATCTCATCACCATCTCAAAGAGCCTTGCATGTTTCATCACTCACCCCCTCACATGCCCACCATCTCATCACCATCTCAAAGAGCCTTGCATGTTTCATCGCTCACCCCCTCTATGCCGCCGTGCTTTATTAGCACTTGGATGATCTCCTGGAACTGCCCCTTCTTCCCCTCCCGCATGGCCTTGCGCGCATCTGTCAGCGGCTGCATGGGGAAGCGGGGGGGGGGGAGGGAAGGGGGAGGGGGGGGGCGGGGGGGGGGGGGGTGTGGGGGGCGTGGGGAGGAAGAGGGATCAGGACAAGGGGAAAGGGATGGGACTAAGGGAGGGTTGGAACTGCCTCGTCTTCCCCTTCCGCTTGGCCTTGCGCGCATCTCTCCCCTACCTCAGATACCCCCCCCCTGGTTCCCCCCCCACACCCCTTAAAAACGAACCGTGTGCCCTCATATGCCTTCCCCCTTGGTTCGCTCCCCATATCCCTCAGATACGACCTCCCCTCGTCCTCAGATACGACCTCCCCTCATCCCTCAGATACGACCTCCCCTCGTCCCTCAGATACGAACCGTGTGCCCCCATCTGTCGCGGGGATTAACTCTCGCGCCGCGCGCCAGGAGCAGTTGAAGTACGCCCCAGGTGCCCCTCGCAGGCGGCGAGGTGGATCGCGGACCGCCCGTCGTAATCCGCGCTATTGACATCCGCGCCTTCGTCTAAGAGCCGCGTCAGCTCGTCCACGTCGCCCTGGCTCGCGACGAAAATCATGTTCGTCATTCGCGAAAGCTGGTCCTGCCACTTGCTCTGCGACGTTGAGCCCTGCGAATGCGACGATCCATGCGACCCACGCGACCCGTCGCGTGCGCTCCCACCACCGCCACCCCCACCGCCGCCGCTGGGGCTCGGACCCGCCGCAGAGCTACCGTTTCCTACGGGGGGGGACGCGCCTGCGCCTGCTCTCGCAGCTGCGGGACTTGCGCCTACTGCTGCTGCGGGAGCTCCCGCGGACGCTCCGCCAGCTCCCCTTCCCGCCCCCATGGGCAGAGGACTTCCCCCCGCAGCTTCCCCTGCTGATGGTACTCCGCCTACCCTAACTCCGCTTGCTTGCGCGCGTTGTTTCCGCGCGCGTTGTGTCCGCCCGTGCCCCGCCGCTGCTGCAGGCGAGCTTGTTCTCAGGTGTTACGTGAGTTGTTACAGACGTTACAACGACACGCCTCCCCGCGCCTGCCCCTCCGATATCCCTATCGCGCTTCTCGCGATCCGCGGTCGCATTGCGATGCTCCTCCGCGCCGATGATATCGCGCAGCGAGACAGCCAGGCTATGCGGGAAATAGAACGTTAAACGCGGAGGTGGAAAATACATATATCGTAACTACGCAGAATGCAGTGTGCGGGAAGTGTTTTATTTCACCAGCATAAGTAAAGACGGCGTTCTATGCATGCCTGGCATTTCAAACGCGTGCGCTACTAGATGGCGATACGGCTCCGGTACTAGTACAAGCCGCGACGGACGCTCTATAGCGAGAACAAAAAAGGAACCAGGCTCGCTGACTAAAAAAAGCCTAAACTTGCGGTTTCTGTGTCGGAAAGGGAGGAACGCGTGCTTCACTGAGGCTTTCCTTTCCCCCGCTCAATTCCACTATTGTAATAAGCCCGCTCGAGACGGTCTGTAGTACTGTGTAGAGTGATATGGTAAGTGTCCTATCCTATCTTGTCCAGCAAGTTCCGCCAGTTTGCGCTGCAAGTGTGCGCGGTTTCCGCCAGTTCCGTGTAAGCGGGCGCGCTGGGCTGGGCTAGTTTTTTTCTCCCCCGTTGCGCTCATGGGCGTTCGGCAACGGGCATTTCAAGGGAGCACGTGGGCAGCGTCCCCGTAATGCCGCAGAGCTGAGCGGACGAGGCCGAGCACGTGGGAAGGCGGAGGCGGTACGCTATACACCATGCCTCGATAAAATCGCGTTTCCATGTGTTACAGAATGGAATTGCACGACTCCCTGAAACCAAAACTAGATTTCCTGAAAGATTGCAAGATGTAATTTCACTGCCATGCGAGGTCGCGGAAACGGGTAACTGCTTTTTGACGAAGGATTTCGCTCCAAGTGATCCATCGGAGCGGCACCCTCGAGATCCCGTGTCCCGCGCGTATGTTCGATTGCGGTCGGATGAGATGCGCTCATAAAGGCTCAAATAACGATTCAAAACGGTTTGGTAGGGTATTGAGCGATAAACGTACGCCGGGGACACGCCATTCGTGATTTGCCTTGCGACCTAAAATTGATGTGTAACGGTTTCTCCAATGCTATTGCCCTTCCCTACCATCACCAGTTTAGTGACTAATTCCAGTCGCGCAACTCCCGTGTCTTAGAGATAAGGAATTCATTGCGGAGTAGGTGCATGCTTGTCGGCTACGTTGAGAATCGTCCCAACTCCACGAGTTTCCCGCCATTCCTTTCTAGAATTTTTTGTCACCAGCCTTTAATTGCCGCAACTCCTGACAAACTCCTTCCTCCGACGTGGAATTGCGACTGTCCACGTGTCAACGACTCAAGCCACTCATGGATACCTCGTCAGCTGAGCCCGCTCTGCCGTTAGATGATTCCACGTCAGCAGATAATTCCACGTCAGCAGAGGACGTGGAAGAGGTCGAGATTGAGGTGGTTGACGAGCCTCGTCGCGCGGATTTTCAGGAGAAAGTGCGCCGATTGCGGCAGGTTTTGCGGGATCGCGGGATCCAATCTGCGTTAATCTCGTCCGTCCCTAACTTCTTCTGGCTCACATCCGGCGGTCGAAATTACGTCAGCCTGTACACTCAGCAGGTAGGGTTAGCGAAACGCAACGACTGCTGGTAACCAGAATTGCCGAGCTATGTAACCAGAAGCAGTGTCGGGTTCAGTGGTGCTGGTAACCAGTAACATCGACGGGAAAGAATTGCTTGACGTGGTAACCGGTGTCGCTTACCCTCCGAGGGGAGTCCCCTTATGCCTCCCTGTACTCCCTGTTCAGTATGGTGCTGGTTGGTAACCAGTAACGGTTTGGCAGAGCGAATTGCAGCACTCCCCCCTTCCCCTCCCCTGCAACTACCGCCCCTCTCTAGGGCGTGGCCTCTATGTTCGCAGATGCGAATCGGGCGGTGCTGGTAACCAGTAAAAGGCAGAATCGATCACTGGATATTCTAACCATTCACCTCTAACCCCCTCCCAACCCACCCAACCCCCCCACCACCACTAACCCCCCCACCACCACTAACTCACCTCTAACCACTCACAGACAGCGCACAGGCACATCGAGGCCCAACTCCCCCCCCTCCCCCCCCCTCCCCCTCCCCACCAACCACATGGCGTGGCGTCTATGGTGTGGCGTGGCGGGGGAGGGGCGTGGCGTCTATGTTCGTGGATGCAGACATGGTGGTGCTGGTAACCAGTAACAGGCAGAATCGATCGCTGGTTATTCTAACCATTCAAATCTACTTCCCCCCCCCACCACCCCCCGCCACTTCCTCGGGGCGTGGTCTCTATGTTCGTGGACGCGGATTGGGTGGTGCTGGTAACCAGTAACAGGCAGAGTCTATCATGAAATATATAACCATCCACCCCTACGCTACCCCCACAACTTTCTCAGGGCGTGGCGTCTATGTTCGTGGATGCAGACAGGGTGGTGCTGGTAACCGGTAATATCGAGGCGGAGCGAATCACTACTCTTCCCCTTCTTCCCCTTCTTCCCCTTCTTCCCCTTCTTCCCCTTCTTCCCCTTCTTCCCCTTCTTCCCCTTCTTCCCCTTCTTCCCCTTCTTCCCCTTCTTCCCCTTCTTCCCCTTCTTCCCCTTCTTCCCCTTCTTCCCCTTCTTCCCCTTCTTCCCCTTCTTCCCCTTCTTCTCCTTCTTCCCCTTCCTCCCCTTCTTCCCCTTCTTCCCCTTCTTCTCCTTCTTCCCCTTCTTCCCCTTCTTCCCCTTCTTCCCCTCACCTTCTCCACCCCTTCCATCCCTAGGGTGTGGCCTCTATGTTTGTAGACGCGGACAGGGTGGTGCTGGTAACCAGTAACATCGAGGCGGAGCGAATCACAGCAGAGGAGCTCGCAGGGCTGGGCAGCATCCAGGTGTTTGCCAAGCCGTGGTTCTGGGACGACTCGGCTCACTTGAATAGGTACGGTTCGGTTCGGTTATGAAAGGTGCATTTGTTGACATGGTTCAGCACTCAGCACCCATCCCATGGTTCTGGGGCGACTTAACACATTCTAACAAGTAGCATGAAAATGTGTTTTTTTACATTGTAACCACTATGTTTATTAAAGTAAATCACTGCCTATTTGGACCCCCTCTTTCAATATGTTCCTTTTCCCCTCCCCTTGTCCAGGCTCATGACCCCCTAGGCCGTGGCTTCAAGCCAGAGCCCGACACAGGGGACAGTCCCTCATCCTTCTCCCCCCCCTCTCCCCCCCTCACCCCCCTGTCCCCCGCTTTACCCCCATCCCCCCCATCCCCCCCATCCCCCCCATCCCCCCCATCCTCCCCATCCCCCCCATCCTCCCCATCCTCCCCATCCTCCCCATCCTCCCCATCCCCCCCATCCTCCCCATCCCCCCCATCCCCCCCATCCCCCGCCCAGGCTCATGACCCTAGGCCGTGGCTTCAAGCCAGAGCCCGACACAGGGGACATTCTCGCCCCGCGATTCGCCGAGCTAAGAGCCACCCTTACCCCCTTTGAAGTGGGTAAATACCGGGTTCTAGCCCGGCAGTGCGGGGAGCTCCTGGGGGAGGTGGCGCGGGGGCTGAGGAGGGGGGTGACTGAGAGGGAAGTCGCAGGGGCGGTGGCGGGGGCGTGTTATTCGAGGGGAATTCACCCTATTGTATTGCTGGTGGGGGCGGACGAGAGAATGGATAAGTGGCGGCACTCCCTGCCTACTGCTCAAGTGGCCAAGGTGAGAAAGAGCGGGTATTTGAGTGAGTGAGTGAGTGAGGGAGGGAGGGAGGGAGGGAGCGAGTGAAGGAGGGAGTGAGGGAGGGAATGTGAATGTGAAAGCGAGTGGTGGTACCAGATGTTTGCTCAGTTGTTCAGTGGGATAGCATACACATGTCAGGTGATTTTTTAGTCGACTCAAAAATCACCTACGGATAGCATACGCATGTCAGGGCTAGTTCACCCCATTGTATTGCTGGTGGGGGTGGGCGTGAGGATGGTGTAATGGCTGGCGGCACTCCCTGCGTACTGCTCAAGTGGCCAAGGTGAGACCAAGTGTGTGTGTGTTCTTGAGGGAGTGAGAGTGAGAGAGAATGGGTGAGTGAGGGGAGGAGAGAGGGGTTGATAGAGCTGAGTGTGATAAGTGAACACGGGGCAGTGAACACGGGGCAGTGAACACGGGGCAGGTGTATTTTGAGTCGACTCAAAATACACCTGAACACGGGGCAGGATCTCTGAAGAGCTTACTGTGAGAATTGAAGTTTATTATTTGCATTAGAGGAATGAGGGCTTACATAGTTGAGCAAGTTTTGATTCGTCTCAAAACAAACCTCGTATCATGAGGGCGTATATTCTTGAGGAAGGGATGGGAGGTGGTTGGGTTTCCCCAAGATTATTGGCTCCCCAAAAAGTTGGGTTGGCCAGTATTATTGGGGGTCCAATTATCCTGGCCAAAAGTATTCGAGGGTCCAATAATTCTAGGTGGGATTATCAGGGGGCTCAAACCTCTTACTTACTCCCTCCTCCCCCCCCCCCCCCAACCCCCTCCCTCACCAATCCCGCCCATTTCAGTCACGCCTTCTTATAACCCTCTCAGGTCGGCGCCACGGCCTCATCGCCTCTCTCACCCGCGTCGTCCATTTCGGGGCGCTCCCCCCCGACTCGCCCCTTCGCCACAAGCACACCGCCGTCACCTACGTCGACAGCGTGGCGATCGCCAGCACGTGCATCGGCGCCACGTCAGACGCAATCATGGCGAGAATCCAGCGGGCCTATGAGGAGCGAGGGTTTAGGAACGAGTGGCTGCACCACCACCAAGGGGGGGCGACGGGGTACCGGACTCGGGAGTGGAAAGCGGAGCCGGGGGTAAGGTATTACGTGGGGTCGCCACAAGCGTTTGCATGGAATCCGTCTATAGCGGGTACAAGATCGGAGGATACGATCCTGGTGGTTGGTGGCGGGGGGGAGGGGGGAGTGGGGAGTGGAGGGGGGGGGAGTGAAGGGGGAAGGGATGGAGGAGGGGAAGCAGCGTGTCCGGAGATCTTGACGGCGACACCTGATTGGCCGATGATTCGGCATGTGGTGGATGGGGTCGAAGTCTTGAGGCCAGATGTTTTGGAGATTTTGGATTGAATACTGTAAGGCTCCGGACCGGCGCTTTTCTTTTAGGCGCTCTTCTTTCAGGCATTCTCTCTACCCAGTCCAGTGTAGTTTCTCCATGTTTCAGCCAGTCATTGGCACCTTTAGGGTTAGGGGACGTATCTCCCATGGTCCCCCACCTCGAGTCCCAATAGGGTTTATTGATTCACCTCAATAGGGTATATTGATTCACCTCAATAGGGTATATTGATTCACCTCAACAGGGTATATTGAATCCCACCATGTATTAATCCCAGTCCAGCTCGTCAATCTCGTCCCCTGTTGTGCAAGGAATCATTCAGGTTACCAACTCAAAAACTGTTGAACTTCAATCTGATTGTGACACGACCTCAGAGGAGTGTGCAGTGCAGTCGTCATAGTGCAGTCGTCATAGCATATCATAGCTCCATAGTACAGCACACTAGATAGGGCAAATACATGGCAAGGGAACAAGGGTGAGCAGGCCATGCTAGTTATCAAAGCATGGGAGGGAAGGGTGGGCAAGTTGGAACAGAAAAATGCAAATGAGACTAGGTGGCAGGTCTGAAAGACCTGCCGATAGATGAAGGAGTTTGTCTCCTTTACAGCAAACTCCTCTTCTAGTCGAATCACAATCTGTAAATTTTTTACTACAAAAAAATTTCTCATATTGTGACACGACCTCAGAGGAGTGTGCAGTGCAGTCGTCATAGGTCAAACGAGACATCAAGTGGTAGGTCGTCGGCGGTGGCGCTCGAGGGTGGCCTGGTATTGATCGGTCGCGCTCGAGCGAGTAGGATCTTGTAGCGCGCGAGAAGCAGCCACTAGCTCGCGGTCAAGCTGAGTAATGTAAAGCTCCTTGGCTGTATCACTTCGCCAGCGACCTAGGGCCTTGAAAAGCCGGTCGGGGACTCCAATATCAACGGCGACCGTCGCAGCCGCCTTGCGGAAAGAATGGGTGCCCAGGAGGGCCGGGTTAAGGCCTACACGGGAGAAAGCATCTCGACACCAACCCCGAATGGCGGCGTACGAGGGAGAGCGATCTGAGGGGGAAGCTCGGGCACCCGGCTGAAATATACGAATAAGGGGGCCAAGGGTCCGCGGAGAATAGCCAGCCAGGAAGAGGAATTGTTGGACACGCGACACCGGACAGTGGCGGGCAGAAGAAGCAGCCACTGGGACCCAAACACCGGTGCCAGCTTGGTCGGTCTTCGAACGAGGGATGAACAACCACATGCAGTCCCGATCGAACTCGATCTGGTGCCACTGGAGGGAGACGAGATCAGAGAAACGAAGGAAGGCTGCGAACATGAGGAGGGGAATAAGGCCCCGCTGGAATGTGGCCGGATCATGCGATGAGAAGTAGATGTCACAGATATCGTAAATCTTGGCTGGAGGAATGGGCTCCTTAGCTTGAGGTGGCTTGCCACAATGACGCATGGCATAATCCTTGACTTGCGAAGAAAAGGGGCCGCGAATCGGGGAGGGGTGGCCAACCAGCCAATGGGCGCAGGATATGGCGGAACACGCAGTGCGCACAGCTGAGACAGTAGCGCCGCGACGGACCGAGTGCAGCAGAAAGAGGGACGCTGTCAGGTCGGTGGCGGGAAGGAAGGGAAGTGAGTGCGCCAAACAGAAGGCTCGAAACTGTCGCCAGTAGGGTTCGTAAGTGCGAAGGGTAGACTTCGCCCGAAGATCAACGGTGAGTGTGAGAAGGTCCGACAATAATCGACCAATATATGAGCCTGCGCAGTGAAATAAATTGATACATTAGTTGAATGCAAAACGAAGCGCATACATCGGAGAGTTCGGAAGACCAGCACCGCTAAAGGCATGACGGTCACTGCCAACGCGTAAACAACTAGCACCAAGGGTAAGGCGAAGGGCCATAACGACCTCCGGGCCCCAAGTGGAGCCGTCCAAGCTTAGCAAAGGCCACCAAAAGGCACTGGGCCAATATGGGATCACGAGAGTGAGAGAAGTGCGCGAGCGACGGGCATGAGCTAGGACAGCCGGGATGAGGGTGGGTGGAGGAAAGGCGAAGCAATTCTCGTGGCCCCAATTGATAGAAAAAGCGTCTTGCGCAACCGCAGAGTGTGAGAACTCGAGGGAGCAGAAACGAGCGAGCTGCGCATTGGCAGGGGATGCGAACAAGTCGATAGTATGAGGCCCCCAATGCCTCTCAAGCAGCCGGAACCAAGGTCGTGTCAAGGAGTAGTCGTCGTGGAGCTCAATCTTGGACAGAGCGTCAGCCTCGGTATTCAGCGCACGGGGAATCCATTGGACCGTAAGACGGATCATATGGCGCACGCACAATTGAATAATCGCGCGGCATACGAAGGTAAGCTCGGGACGGCGAGAGCCTCCCTTCTGGAGGATGTAGTAGGCCGCCTGACTGTCGCTGCGGAGCAAGATGTGCGAACGTCGGATTTCGACAGAAAAGGCCGAAAGGGACCAAAAGATTCCGGCCAGCTCGCGAAGGGTACTGGACGAGCCCAAGAGGGCTAGAGGCAGCGGGGAGGAGAGCGAGCCGACACGACCATCCGGCGCTGAATAACAAGCCCCCCAAGCATGGTCGCTAGCATCCACGTACATGACCACGTCGTACAAATGCGGGTTGTGGAAGCGGGCGCCGTTGAAAACGTCGAACTGTGTAAGCCAAAATCGCAGTTCTTCAACAGACTCAGGGGTGAGGAGAATGGCCGCCCCCCATGAGTGGCATTCGGCGATCTGCGTAAGAAGGTGGTGGGAGAAAGCGCGCGCGACAGTGCCAAGCGCCAAGGACATGGAGGCCAACATGCCGGTGATGCGGGCAGCGCGGCGAACAGGGATGCGACGCCCGTTAGTGCCGAGTGTGCCTAATTCATCCAGCTCGGCAAAAAGCCGGTTGCGCCGATCCGCATCGACCGAGAAAGTGGTGGTGCGCGTGTCCAGCAAGAGGCCCAAGAACTTCAAAGATTGTGCCGGTGCGAGTTGTGATTTTTTGAAATTCACAACAAAGCCCGCGGCTGCGAGGTCGGCAATGATTATGGAGCGGTTGTGAAGAGCCTCCGCTCGAGTGGCACTGATGAATAGGATATCATCGACGTATGGAATAAGGCGGATGCCACGGCTACGCCAGCGTTTGGCGAGTTGCTTAATTAACTGGGTAAACACAAACGGCGCTGTAGCCAGCCCGAAAGGCAAAGAGAGGAATTGGTAGTCCTGCCCTTGCAAGGAGAATCCGAGAAACTGCCAGAAAGCGGGGTGAATGTCGACGTGGTGGTATCCAGATTTGAGATCGATCGTGAATAGCCAATCGCCTTCTTGCACCAAATCAGGAACGCGAGTAAGTCCTTCGTATCGAAAACGAGGTACTGAGAGGAATGAGTTGACATGCCGCAAATCCAGTATCAGTCTCTTTTTTGAGGGTTGGACAATCACGTTTAAGGGGCTAACGCATGTGAGGGTTGTGGAAGGAGGAACGACCCGAGCTGCGCCGGTGGCGAGAAGCTCGGCCACTGCGCCTACGGCGAAAGAGGTGAATTGCAAAGCACCGGCATGGTTCTTAGTACGAGACGGAGGGGGCTCAGAGGCAACCCATGGTAGGCGATATCCAGATGTAATCACCGATAGAATCAAGCGGCTGTCGCACCAGGCGGACCACCATGCAGCGCGGTCACGGAGGCGGCCTTGCATGCGGGTAATCTTGGTTGCGTCATCGGCATAGGCCGAAATGGTTCCGAGCTCTGGTAGGAGAGGGAACACAAATAGGGACGGTAGAGAATCAGGAAGGTACCTCATGTAGTTCCGAACGCAACGATTTTTTTTTTTTTTTTTTTTTTTTTTTTTTTGGAAGGAAGGCAAACGCTAGATATAGGTGCCCGCTTGCTCGCTATTATTCGGCCACGTCATCCCTTAAGTGATAAACTATGGGTTGGGAATGTGAACTTGGCATTTTGGGCTGTAGTTGGTCGTCATATATTCCTTGTCGTGAACCAAAAAGTGTTTCGGGAAATGTTGCCAAAGCATTTGCCAAGTGTTCTAATCTTAGTCCGCCAGGAGTGTTCACCCACATGTTCGCAAAACGTTTGCAAAGCATTTGCGCAAATGCTACGCAATCGTTTTGCGAGCATACGGTTTTTTTTTTTTTTTTTGCGATGGACATAGAAATCTTGTGATGAATCTTATCAACGTCAGTCTTTAAAGGACGCACACACATTGTGTATGCGTCTTGTAGGCACGCTCACGTCTTCTTGCACGGGCCCAACGTGCAAGACCATGTGGCCGTATGACGCGCGTATTAATCTTGCTTGAATGCACAAATGTGCGTGTGTGTGTTTTTTTTTTTTTTTTTTAATTAAGAACGCTACAACATCGGAGAGGTTAAGCAAACTTTACACAATCTTAGCTGGCCGATTGGCCCCTTGGCCCCTTTGGGGGCAATTAGCCATCCCATGCCCGGGTTCACGGCAATAGAAACAACGGCCGTCGCCGTCCCTACGCCATGTGTTCCAAAGGCGCTCCCCTTGGCCGCGAGGGCGAAGAGGGGGTTCAGGACGGGAGGTGGGATGGGTGGGCCGAGTCGGCCTCTTCTTGCTGGCCGCTACAATCTGAGAAGCGGCCTTCACATTCTTATCCTCTACCACTTCCCCATACTTAATCTTAAGGGCCATATTGGCCACTTCGAAACCGCGTTGATCGGCGGTAAACAAAAAATGAATCTTCTCTTCCGCCTCCTCTACTATCTGCTGGAGATAGTCGGCGGCTTGTTCTCCACCGTCAAGTGGTAAAACCGAGATAGCATGACGTGCAATAGCTTGAATGCGCTCAAAACTAAAAAGTTGCGTACGAATTCCATCGCTTTTAACTAAGGAAGAGCGCAACTGAGGACGTGCAGGTGGAATAGGAGCGAGGGTGAGCGATGCAGAAGCGGATTTCGGGCGGGCGGCATTACCTTCGTCGAGCGTGGCATGGGGTGCTTCCTCGTCCATTTCGTCGTCAACGGGCTCGGGGGCGGGCGCCGGGAGGCGAGAGCGTGGGGCCACCGTCGCTGCGACGCGTGCTGGTTCCGGTGGCGGTGCAGGATCGGCGCCATTGCCACGCTGGAGCGCCGCGAGAAGACCAAGAACGTGGTGAATGGCCTCGTTGTTGGTGCCGGCGTTAACATTGTTGTCGGTGTAGCGAGCAGAATTATGTTCTGCAGAATGAGGCGCTGTAGATGCAGTGGAGCGTGCTGTAACGCGTTCGCCAGCAGCTCCTGTGAAGATTCGCTGGAGATTGCGCTGGGCTGCAGGATCCAGGCGCGCAATCATTTCGGCGATTTCTGCTGCTCCAGGGGTCGAGATCTGCGGAATCCCGCGCGGATTCACTGCGGCAGGAGCAAAATCTGTGCGGCGATCTGCGCGATCCCGGTCCCGATCCTGGCGATCCTGGCGAATCTGGGGCGCTGGGGCGTTGAGATCGCGCTCATGATGACGCCCTGCGCGCGCAGTATCACGATCATGATTGTGGTCCTCGCGCGCAGGACCGTCATGATTGCGTTCGGTAGGTGGGGGCCGGGAGGGGGCGTTTTCGGCAGTCGGGTTCGTGTCGACGCGGTTCTGCTCGTTACGCCGCTCGCCTTGAAATCCGGGGGGAAATCGCGATTGCGTGACGTGTTACGATCCGCGTCCCCTGCCGTGTTTTCGACGTGCTGAACAGGGTCTTGACGCGCGCCACTCAGCAAATCCAAAGCGGTAACTGCGCCGTTACCTCCGCCAGGACGAGGAGAACGAGATCGTTCTCTATGCTGAGATGAAGAGTTTCGGTCCCCCTCACGTACAGGGGACCCACGCCTTCCACCACTCCTAGTATTCACACGAGGAGCAGGAGGCCTACCACTTGCAGCGGAAATGAGTCCGCTAACCATTGTAGAGTATCTAACAGAAATAACGTCTTGCAGCAAGAGACTTCTATGCCCAGATCTGGGCATAGAGGTTTAGAGTGTGCTGGTGGTATACAAGTTGGAACAGAAAAATGCAAATGAGACTAGGTGGCAGGTCTGAAAGACCTGCCGATAGATGAAGGAGTTTGTCTCCTTTACAGCAAACTCCTCTTCTAGTCGAATCACAATCTGTAAATTTTTTACTACAAAAAAATTTCTCATCTGTAGTTTGGTCAAACTCTTCACTCGAAATGCACACTATAAACACATTCACAACAGAAAGGTGACACCTATGTACACGCTGCCTGCCTCACTCACTCAGCAAAAGACTGGCCTCCCTGATCCTCGTGACTGGGGAGGAGCACTAGCTCCTCCACCTCTGCACCTAAACAAAACACACGCCCTTGACGTACATACATACACCTCGGCGCCGCACCCCTGTGATGCTCCTCTCTTTACAAGACAAGCCTCTCGCCCCCCCTAGACAGCCAGAGCGGAGGCACAGAATGAAGCCCTTGCACTTAGAAGCAGGGGAAGGAGAGCAGGTAGACTCAGGTTGCTGGCGACAGCACAGTCTGGCCCTCTCTTAACCAGCCAGCGTTTACTGTTGACCTCCGCCAGAGTTACTTTCTAATACCAGAGGAATTCCGTGGAGCTTCAGTCAGTCCTCAAGCTTGGTCTTGAGCGTGCGGAAGGCTGTGAGCTCGTCACGAATCTTAGCTGGATGGTTAAAAAGGTTGGGTGGGGGACGGGTGGGGAAGAGGGCGATTGTCAAAAACTCCGGGATGCGATTGACGTGGCATGCAAACATGGGTAGGTTCCATGCAGGATCATGGGGATAAAAGAGGGTCATTCGCCAGCTTATGGGGTACACCCATACATACCTGCATCAGTAAAGCGCTCCTCTGCTATGGCATGCTGCATGGTCTGAAGCAGCCTGAATTCCGCTGTAAGGTCCTGCAGCACCATGCTCGACTTGTCAGGCCTGCAAGAAGATAATCATGGCAGCATATCGTAAGGCTCTGGCCACTCTGACTACCAATTTTCACCGAAACTCAAAACCCAGAAGGCTGTAAAAAAAATCCCAATGCTGACCCTCAGCAATGTGTTCGATGCAGAATGTGTGACGCTGCAGAGCATGATTCCGTGCAGAGCGTGTTATCCTCTGTCTTGTGCTGTTACAAACAATGGACTCACATGTCCTCCTCTGTAGGCACGAAGTTGCGTCGGCGGATTGTCCGGGCAGGACGGACCCCTGGCTGCGGCGCAGTGCTGACGACTCTCACGCCATCTCCCACTGCCAGAGATCTGTTCACCTGAATGGGCACCTGGAAATCGGCAAACACGCAATTCATGCAAAAGAGCTACGGACAGATTAAATCAAGCAAGCAAGCCCCGCATAAACACCAGATTTCGCATCGGCACCCGGGTTGAACAAAGTACAAACATGACGAGACCAGCTAAAGTTTTCAAAATGACGTTACCGTCTAACGGTAAGAAAAGAGCGCGTACCCTCGCTCGGATGGCCAGGTTGATGGCGTCAGACGGCCTCAGGTCAAGACTGAACACAGTTCCTCCCCCCTCGCCGACCTGCAAGCAAGATGTGATGTAAGAGTGATGTAAGAATTATGCAGCGTGATTACATGGTATGGATAGGTGGACATAAACCTGTAAGCGAAGGACATTCCCAGGTCGATTCCACCAGGAAAAATGAAGACAGCGTGAAGGAATTTGCGTGGACGGCGCCTTGGTGGTCCGGGAATTTACCTTCTCGAGGTAAACTCGGGCGTAGTATGCCTCACACACGCGATGAGTGATGCGCACCAACTTGAGCTGTCACAGAGCGAAACAGAGCAGGAGAATTGGGATAATAAGAGAGGGATGTTGGTTACTTGAAACGGCAGCGATAAATAAAGGGGGAGATAATGAGCTGTGCTGTGGCGCTGCTGCGCTGACGTGTAATCGAGCTGTTTGTTGATGTTGCACTAATTTTGCTCGTATTCTCACCTTGTATCCCATCATGTCGATCATGTCTCTCATCACCAGGTACACCGTTGGCCTGGCCTGAACGCATTAACGAAGAAATTTAACGTCAGGGAAGTGAGCGGCAGAGAAAAGCAAGGAATGAAAGGTAACCCTGGACGAATGTCTCCTGGGCGTGATATTCGGAAGTACTCACGAGTGGGACATTTCGGATGGCCTCCTGAGCCATCTGGCTCGGCAAGTCCACTGCAATTGAAAGACATGAAAGAGAAGAAACTGAGAAGTGACACAGGACAAAAACGACAACAACCTGTCGGACAGCGGAATTAGCGGTCCAAGTAAACCACAGACGAGCTCTGGGTGGAAATTCCGAGCAATAATTGTGAAATATTCATAAACAGTGGTTCCGGGTCCACTTACGGACGATTATTGGAAGAAGAATGCCGCTGCCGTCTTCGAGTTTGAGGACAATGGCCGGCTGGGCCGTATAGTCAGGAAGCCTCGCGCCGTCGGGGTTTGTGTGAGCGCATTTGAGGAGCGAGCCGTCGGACATCTTGACGACGAAGCCATCAGCGCTGCTCTTCACCTCATCTGCGCGAGCAAGCAAGCACGCAAGCAAGTAAGGGGACAGAATTAGTCCAATTTCCGTTCCAACCTACGACAGCTTCCGCGAGCGAGCCGTCGGACACCTTGACGACTAACCCATCCACGCTACTCTTCACCTCATCTGCGTGAGCAAGAAAGCAAGGAGGCACAATTAGTCCAATTTCCGTTTGATGTTACGTGGACGTCCGCCTTGATGTAACACAAATTCAGGGTAACACGCGTTTCACGTCGTCCAGGGAGATGAGTGAATTATAAAGAAGGAAAACGAACTTCCGTCGGAGGATTTTATACACTTACTTGCTTCGACGACAGTGGCTCTGGAGTATTCCGTGTCGTCCTCCTGAAAACCCTCAGACATTTTCCCTTTGAAGAACTCCATAGTCGCCTCGCACTTGCCAGGCACGAACCTCTCCACAACCCTAGCAGAGCCTCCCCTCGCGGCTTTTGATGCAAGCAGGCTCCCGAGCATCGATTGTTGCTTCCATGGCGTCACAGATACTGCGTTAAAGGTGGATTCAAGTTTCGCTGAGATGCACTTTGAGATGCCGCTGGCGTGAGCCGCGACGCGGGGAACGGATGCAGACACGGCCGCCATGATTGAAGTTTCTTGCAGAGCTTGTTCACACCCTTCAAGAAAGCAGTTCTACTGCAGTGACCTTAGGGACACCACAGCCACAACTGCTGTTGGAGGAATGAAGGGAGGAGACAGCTGACTGCAGTCTACTCAAAATTTCACAGGCAGAGTGCCTCCGTGTTTGCTAAAATCTTATGGATGAGTTATCAGTCACTAGCCTCGCTTATATTATACGCTAACCAGGATAGACGCTTACAGCACAATGAAGCCCCTCTGCTCATCCTCACAGCAGTCATGTCTGTCATGTCTCTGGTCTGTCTGGGCTTCAGCATGGCTGGTTGGGGGAGAGCTTCTGCTGGCTCCCTCTCGCATCCTTTCTCTCCCAACTGTCACTCCCTTCCCTCAGCTTGACCGTGCTCTATCCTAAAGCCACCGTTTCCCACCCTGCTAAAACGTTTCAGTTTTCCACACCTAACCCAACTCTTCCCTGTCTCACCAACGCTGCGTCGCATCTGAACAGCCTCTGCCAGACAGTTGCACGATTCCCTGGATATGGTTACCTCTTCGTTTCCTTCTAGATGGACCAATACACGAGCGTGCAAACGCTGGCGAAAGACGACTGAAGGTTTCGAGAGTGAGTGTTTCTTCGCGAAAGCAGAGCACGAGGTCATATCCACATTGTAGTTGCCCTGTCAGTCACTTTCCACGCGCCTCGGTTCATCGGAGGGATGAAAGTCGGGAGATTCTGAACGGGCCTGGTGAGTGGCATCCACAACTAGCGTCAATTGCAGACACGTGCGTACCAATTGTGAAAATTTTACTCCAATCAGAGAACGTCATCTCATCCAACCGCGTCGAAGACACGCTGGCGCGTGCACGGGAGGGCTGGCGTTTCGGCTTGTCAACTTTTGCCTTCCCCCAAGGCTGACTGGCCCTGATCCGATTGGACAATTGTGAGTGGTGGAAGGTTCTTGCGCGTTCGTGTGGGGGGATCCTTCGCAAATAGATGAGGGATGTGGGCCACAAAAGTCTTCTGCTGAGTCACTGCTTTGGCACCAATAGCTGCTGTATCACGTCAGCTCCAGTGGGTGCCACGTGGTACACGTAAAACATGATGTAAGGAAATTCTATTCTCCAATCGAAACGCATCAAACTTCACCATAATATATTCTCTTCAACCTGCCTCCAGATTTTCAACTTTCCGAAACATGTGACAAACTTCACTCTTCACGTAGTAAACATGGAATTCCTTCTCTGGACAATGACGACGATAGTAACATATATGATTGCACGCTTGAGCCATGCAGAGGAAATCACCATTCCTATGAGCAACGCAAAAACCTGGGTCATAGTGTATGCAAAACCTACTTCATCAATATTATACACCTACGATGACCATTGTCAGATACAGCATACACCCTCTTCAGCTAGCAGAGAAGCAACCAGCTGACTGCCCACTTTCTCCCATGACCTCCATTCTGTGAGCGTCAACCTTCCCAGTCACGCCATCCCGAGTGAGGAAAGCGCTGCACCAGCGGGCATGGTCCACAGGCAAGGCACTCACCTAGCACAAGTCAACCTTCTCGCTCGCTACGTTCCTCATGCATGCATAACCTCCCTATACTTCCAACACATGGCCACAGTAATGTCTGCCACAAAGGCCCCCCTCCGCCTTGATGCATTTCCTTGAACTTCTGCTTCCCTCCTGCCATAACGCTAAAACGGACCAGCCACCCTGCCACCCTGCTTACACGCGCCTAAGACCTAGCAAGATCCAGCCATCCTGTTACACCCAGCCAGACCCAACCAGACCCAGCCAGACCCAACCAGACCCATCCGGAACCAGCCAGACTCAGCCAGACCCAGCCAGCCTGCCACCATGCATACGCACGCCCCAGCAGGCCCAGCCAGCAAGGCACAACTCATTTCAACTCCCAAGTCGTGCTTCGGTCGTGGAGAGAGCTCCAGCTGAGGCGAATCACGCCTCAGTTGGCTTGACAGCCTGATGCCACCTGCGTGGATGGACACTAGCAAATCACACCTCGCCCACTCCCCCCCCCCCGCATCTCTCCCACCCCCTCTGCTTCCGACCCTACATCTACCTACTGCTGCCTGCTCGATTCTAAACAACCAATACCCCTACCAGTACCCCTACCAATACCAATACCAATACCAATACCAATACCAATACCAATACCAATACCAATACCAATACCAGTACCCCTACCGGTACCCCTATCAATACCCCTACCAGTACCCCTACCAGTACCCCTACCAGTTCCCCCTACCAATACCCCTACCTGCTCTGTTCTGCTCCTGGAATACCTCCCATCCTCCGCCACCCCTGACCGGACCTGCTTCCATCCCACCCCTCCTCCCTTTACTGCAGCGGTGCCCCCCTCGCAACCTGTCGATGCACCTCAAACCATCCGTCCGCTTCTGGAATACCTCCCATCCGCCTCCACCCCGGACCGGACCTGCTCCTGCGCATCTGCCACCATCCCTCTGCTCCCTGGCTTCCATCCCCGCTCCTTTTAACTCCGGCTTTGCTCCTCCGCCGTCTGTTGACGCACCTCACATATTCCTTCCGCAGCTTTTCTCCCCCGCTTCCCCCAGATCTGCTCGTGCGTATCCGCCACCATCCCTCTGCTCCCTTGCATCCATCGCCGCCCCTTCAACTCCGGCTTTGCTCCTCCGCCATCTGTTGAGGCACCACCACACACACTCCTTCCGCAGCTTTGCTCCCCCGCTTCCCCCGGATGCTCCCTCCCTCCCTCCACTGCAGCTTCAACCCACCGCTTCTCTTCGACGCTTACCAAACAAGTACCAAAACAACGACTTTCGTTTGTGGCCTGGCGCCTGCAGTAGCAGCAGGAAGGGCGGCTGCCGCCTTCTTCCCTTCACCGCTCCTCCTCACCACTCCTCTCTACCGCTCTTCACCGCTCCTCCCCACCGCACCTCTTTACCGCTTACCAAAGAAATATCCGAATAGCGATTTTTTCTGCGGAGCAGGAGCCGCAGCACCCGCTGCTGGCTTCTTATCATGCCCCTTACTCGACCCACCCCCACCACCACCCTTAGCACCACCAGCGCCAGCAGCAGGCGCGGCAGCGTCCGCCTCCTTCTCCCCTTTCGTCTGCTCCGCGTATTTCTTCAGCATGGGCAGCACCACCGTCTCCAGATCTGGCCGGCTCATCCGATCCCTACACTTGAGCGCCACGTCAGCAACCTCCTTAACAATCTCGGGGTTCCACTGAACCGTCTTATCCAGATGGTCCAGAATCCCGTCTAGTCCGAACTTAGCGAACTCGAGCACCTTGTTCACCTTCTCGCCGGTCAGCAGCTGTAAGATCACCAGTCCCAGCCCGTACAGGTCCGACTGGGGGCCGTACTTCCCCGTGCGCAGCAGCAGCGGGTCGATGTATCCCACGGTGCCCCAGATGGACGAGTCGTTCGCGGGGAGGAACTTCGCCAGGCCCACTCCCCCGACCTTGCACGACAGGTCTTCGTTCAGCATCACGTTACCGGGCTTCACGTCTTGGTGGAGGATCGGGGGGTCGAGGTGGTGCAGGAAGAGCAGGGCTTCGGACGCCTCTGCCGCGATCCTCAGCCTGTCCTTCTGCTTTAACGTTTTCCGTCCGGATTCCGTCAGCAGACGGTCCTCGAGGGTCCCCGCCGGGAGGGACTCGTACACGATACAGCGTGCCTCGGGATTGTACCCGAGGAGCTTGACGATGTGCGGGTGGTCCGCGCGCGTGAGGATGGTCACTTCGCGCGTGAATTTCTCCGCGGCCTGGCGGGTGTTATCGGGGTTCAGCTTCATTACAAGCACCGGGGACCCGTCCGCGAGCTTCCCGCGGTACCCCGTGCCGAACCCGCCGCGGCCGAGCGAGTTTTCCCGCGAGTAGCTATTCGTGGCTTCCTCGAGCTCTTCTGACGTGAACGTCTTTAAACCGGCTGCGTCCCCCATCGTGATCTATTGTTGCTGCTGCCGATGCTGGTGGTGGTGCTGCTGCCTAAATGGTGCTATTTGGTACTTCTATTGCGATTATCCCCACATCGTTTGGTTATCCCGGTAGTTAAAGACCTGGCCGGTGGACATCCGTAGCCCTTGTGGAGCACGATCAGTTACAGTTTCCGCCACGGTCAGTTACAGTTGTTGACTACCGCGGTGACTGACTTGCCGCCTTCGCGTTGATTTTAAGGGTAAAGCTGGAAGGAGTTGAAAAACAAAACATGGTGATCGAAAAATTGGGCATGCAACAGAGCACTGAATAAAAATTAGTTTGAATGATGAGGGGGGAAGCACTGCTATTCGAAATAGGGGTATGCGGAACATCAACGCGGGGAATCACGGCTGTAGAATAGAGATCGGGAAAATGTTGTGGAAGATAAGATCCATGCACCGGTTGTTACGGTTGGTCAAAGCTAAGGGTCCCCTCGCTTGGCAAACGGAAGTTTCAGGAACAAAAACATTGTTCGCGATAGGGCTGGAAATTTTGTGGAACGGCGGAATCAGAGGAATCACTGCCTCGAGAAGATGATGGGACTGCCTTTAGGACCGACTTACCAAGAAAGCATGGACCGGAATTAACTCCACCCCGAGCGGCACTTCGAAAAGCAGAGAAGGCTTCTCGCGCCGACAGGTTAAACTGTAGTCTATTGCTCGCCACAATGCCTTCTATTCTGCCTTCGTCCTGCCTACTATTCTGCCTTCTTCCTGCCAAATATTTATTGCCTTACTGGAAGCTTCTGGGACTCGAGTTTCAGCTGAACTGGAGTTTCAGGCTGAACTGGAGTTTCGGCAACTTCTGAGTTTCAGTAAGGCTTTTGTCCTGAAGTTCAGGACCCAGAAGTTGCCTTGGACCTTTTCAACTGTCCCTCCAAACTTCCATCCCAGTTTCACTCAGTTTCAAACTGTTCCCTTGGTCAGTCCCCTCCCTCCCCTCCCCCCAACTTGATCGGCTTTGGCTGCACCTGTGTCAATTCAGTCACCCACCCCTCGATGTTGTCATCAAAACGGAAGCGGGTCGTTCGGGTGAGCGTATTCTGGAGCTCGTGTCGAACACTAGTATCATACGGGAACACCCGAGGTGGCAAAAAATTGCCTCGGGTCTAACGACTCCTGACGGCTGCTTGACCGGAAACACACCGTTCGCATACAAACCTACCGGACTAGAAGTGGCGTAAGTACGTCGCCCGCCAATGTACACCACCCAAATCGCTTTGCGACAACTCTGTGGGGTAATCTGTACATCGTCAACTCGTTTTGCGACTTTCTGCACCTCTGTAGGCGCACTA